TGTGGGGCTCCCAGGTGGGTGGTGTGGGGCTCCCAGGTGGGTGGTGTGGGGCTTCCAGGTGGGTGGTGTGGGACCCGCAGGTGGGTGGTGTGGGGCCCCCAGGTGGGTGGTGTGGGGCCCCCAGGTGGGTGGTGTGGGGCCCCCAGGTGGGTGGGGTGGGGCCCCCAGGTAGGTGGGGTGGGGCTTCCTGTGTGGATGCTGAGGGTCCCTGTGCTGAGGGTGGTGGTCCCATCGTCCTCCACCCTGCTGTACCTGAGGCCTGAGTACAGGCTCCCCTGCCTGTTTTAGGGTTCACCGTTCACCCTGGTGACAGGTGGGTGCTGGAGACCGGCCGCCTGTATGAAGTCACCATCGAAGTTTTTGACAAATTCAGCAACAAGGTCTATCTGTCTGATGTGAGTGCCTGTTCAGGTCCTAGCTGGGGGATGAGGTGGGGTCGTTGCCTTATGCAGCTGCTGAAGGGCAGCCCCCAAAGCAACAGGAGCCCCCGTGCAGGCTGACCGAGGAAGGGTCCTGTTTCTAGTGGCGCTCCCGGGTCTGTGGGAGATAATGCGGAGGCGTCCTGGGGCATCTCCAGAGCCTGTGAACCTGCACACCGGCCTCACTGCGGAGCCCCTGTCGGGCTGGAGAGCAGAGGGTGCCACAGCGGCAGGGTTCCAGGAGAGGGGGATAGGGAGGAGGTCTCTGCCCACCACTCTCCCGCCCCACTTTCCCCAAGCTAGGGACCTCAGAGAATCCATTCTCCTCCTGCCCTGCAGAGAGTCAGGGAGCACGTCCTGGCTTTCTTCATACTGGGTCCCAGAAATACCTGGAACCCTGCATGACAGAGGCCGAGCTCAGCACGCTTTCTGGTTCTGGAAAGGGGTGTCAGACAGATGGGGAAATGTGCAGGAGTCTTGAACGCCTCTCTATCCCCTGTGAGAAATTCCAGGCTCGTCAGTGAGCACCTCCAGGCCCTTCCAGGTGGCGCTGGAGGTTTTAGAAGAAGGAGGCGAGGTTCCTCTCGGTGTCCTTGAAGAAGTCATTGCTTTGCTCGTGTTATCAAGCAAGGGCTGGGATGGTCACCATTTACAGTTACCTGTAGGGGACATGATGTCCTTTTTTTATATTTACTGGTTCCTTGTTGAGACCTTGGTAGGCTCCAAGCTGCCCCAGGTGCCACACGGGGAGATGAAACAGGAGCGCAGGTCATCGGGCCATGCAGGGAGGGCGGCCTCGGTGGGGACAAAGGCCATAGTGGTCAGAGCTCTGTTCCAGGGCCCAGCCCGCCCATCTGTTGCTAGTAGAGGCTGCTGAGCTCCAGGGGGCCCCTTGGCCTGGCCTGGCTGCTGGTTTCAGTCCTGTAGCTTCGTGCCCAAACTCTGACTTTCTGGAGTCACCCCAGAAACACCTCTCTCCTGTCCTGCCTCACCTTCCAGAACATCCGAATTGAAACTGTGCTTCCTGCTGAGTTCTTTGAGGTGCTCTCATCCTCCCAGAATGGTTCGTACCATCGTGTCAGGGCACTAAAGAGGGGACAGACGGCCATTGACGCGGCCCTCACCTCTGTGGTAGACCAGGCAAGTTGGTGGCTCCCCTGCGTCGTGCCTTGGCCTATGAAGCCCCCCTCTGTAGGCAGAAATGTCAGCCCAGGAGGGCCATGAGTCCCAGGGAGTTGGGCCACCAGTGTCCCTTTGCCTGTTTGGGCTACTTGCATCCTGGGTTCTTTTTCCCCTTGTCTTTAAGAAGCCCATCAGCCTTAGGGAGCAGAGCTTTGCTGATTGGAAAATCGGCCTGGGTATTCCCATTTTCCTATCCCACACAAAAGGCCTCCTGGCCTGAAAGGGGCCACAGGCCGTAACAGGAAGAAACGCCCATGCACTGACAATGACTCCTGCCAGAGTCAGCCTCCTCAGCTTTGGGGGCTGGGTGAACTGCTTTAGCTCTCAAGCCTCAGTTTCCCCATCTGTCAAGTAGGGGAGGGGGGACACCACGTCCATCCTGCCCTGAGGATTCAGTCAGGCAGCACTTCCAGAAAGCACTTCAGAAAGCCATCCCCGTGAAGAAGGAGAGGGTGGCTCTCCACTCTCCCAGAAATCCACCTTTGTGGCCTGATCCCCAGGGAGGGGTGGGGGTCCAGTGACTGGGAAAGACTGATGATGACATGGATGTCATAGTGACGTGTGGCACCCTCACCCGTTGTAGGATGGAGGGGTCCACATACTACAGGTGCCTGTGTGGAACCAGCAGGAGGTGGAAATTCACATCCCCATCACCCTGTATCCCAGCATCTTGACATTTCCATGGCAACCAAAGACGGGCGCCTATCAGTACACAATAAAGGTACGTGAGACCGCTCACCTCTGGGTGCATTCCTTTGGTGTTTTCATGGGATTGTGGCTTTTTGTCCATTCTATTACTTTTAGTATTACTCTCTAGTGGTCATAGAGAATTTTAAATCACAGTCTTTGTGATTTCTGTTGGTTCCTGAGGTTTCCATCATAGCAATACATTTTGGTAATTAGGAAAAAAAAAACAACAAAAAAACCCAACAATGAAAAACTTGAGAATAAGGCAGGGTGCAGTGGCTAACACCTGCAGTCCCAGCAATTTCGGAGGCTGAAGTGAGAGGATCACTTAAGCCCAGGAGTTTGATACCAGGCTGAGCAACATAGGGAGACCTCCATCTCTACCAAAAAAAAAAAAAGAGAGAGAGAGAAAAAATGCAATAAAGAAAACCTGGAATACAGATTTGAATTTCATTAACATTAATTTTTCTAATTTATTTTAAAGCAATATATACACACACCCTTAGAGAAAACATTAAAATTTAAGGGATAAGTATCTCCAACCTCATCACATGGGATGTATCATTGCTCTCACCTTAATGCTTGTACCTGGTGTTAGCCAGCAGGACTCACGTTAGACAGTGCTCGAGTCCTCGTGGTCGGTGCAGGGCACATCAGTCCTGCTGTCCCGTGGAGTGGTGACAGGTGTCCTGTCCGTAGACTGGCACCAGCTGTCTGCTCAGGTGTGTCACCATCCTGGCCTCTTGGGTTCTGGGGTTGTTTCCTCTGGTCTGGGAGCAGAGGTGTGGTCGCTGACCTCCTAGCAGACGATGAGGAGCGGGCAGGGGTGTGTGCTGGGAGCTTGTGTCTAGTCAGGGAGGCAGCACCCTGCAACTGGCTCGGTGACCAAGGGTTTCGTCCCACGCCAGCCTGAGCTCTGGGAGGTGCCACCAGATTCTGGGGCATCTGTCATGGGCCTGTGTGTTTGTGTGCGTCAGTCTCGAGGTCCCCAGAATATGAGGACAGAAATGAGACAGGACAGAGGGTGAGGGCAGGGGTAGCCTCCAACCAGACCCTAGTTGATGCCACATTTTTCCCTGCTGTGGGCATCGACCTTGTGTGTCAGTGAGGAAGTGGTCACAGGTGTTTTAGAGCCTGGGAGAGTGTATATGTGTTTGAGTGTATTGGTGCTAGTGTATATGTGTGATGTATGTGTGAGAAAGTTTGAGTGTGTGCATGTGACGGTAAGCTGGTGGGAGTAGGTGAATGTATGTGAGTGTACCGTGGGTGTGAATGGTGAGTAGGTGAAAGTGTGAGTGTGAAAGTAAATGTAAGTGTGAGCATGTGTACGAATGAGTAGGTGTATGTGTGTGCACTGTGGGTATGAGTGGTGAGCATGAGAGTAAATGAGTGTGAGCAGGTGAGTAGGTATACATGTGTGCACTGTGGGTATAAGTGGTACGTGTGCATGAGTGTATGAGTGAATGGGCAAGTAGCTGTACATGAGTGTGAATTGTGAGTGTGAATGGTGAGTGTGTGCATGGGTGAGCCCATGAGTGTGAGGATAAATGTGTATGAGTGTGAGTGCCTGCAGGCACACGCACGTGTCTCTGACCCTCTGGCTTCCCCAGCAGGCTGAGGGCAGGCAGCCGGTCCTGTGATGGCTTTTCCTCCGCAGGCCCATGGTGGCAGTGGGAACTTCAGCTGGTCTTCGTCAAGCTACCTGGTTGCCACAGTTACTGTCAAGGGCGTAATGACCACAGGCAGTGACACCGGGCTCAGTGTGATCCAGGCACACGATGTGCAGAACCCACTCCATTTCGGTGAGATGAAGGTGAGAGCTCAGGGCCAAGACACCCCTTGGGAGACTTCACTCAGAAACACCCCTAGCCCTGGGTCCTGTACTTAGGAGCTCAAGCCCCAGCCCTTCCCTTAGGAGCTCACGGCTATGTCAGGAAGATGGACAGGATGTCTCACACCAGCCAACAATGGGCCCAGAAAGACCAGTGTCCACAGGGCTGGGTTTCTGGAGGGGAGATAATCTAAGAGCCATTCTAGAAAATTCCCCAGACCTGGCCGGGCGCGGTGGCTCAAGCCTGTAATCCCAGCACTTTGGGAGGCCGAGACGGGCGGATCACGAGGTCGGGAGATCGAGACCATCCTGGCTAACACGGTGAAACCCCATCTCTACTAAAAAAATACAAAAAACTAGCCGGGTGAGGTGGCGGGCGCCTGTAGTCCCAGCTACTCGGGAGGCTGAGGCAGGAGAATGGCGTGAACCCGGGAGGCGGAGCTTGCAGTGAGCTGAGATCCGGCCACTGCACTCCAGCCTGGGCGACAGAGCGAGACTCCGTCTCAAAAAAAAAAAAAAAAAAAAAGAAAGAAAATTCCCCAGACCTGAAAGATAGGAATCTCAAATTGGAAGGTCCACCAAGCACTAGGTTGTAAACTCACAGTGAAAGGGCACCACCAGGCTCCGAGAGACCAGGCCAGACTCCTCTCCCTTCACTCACTTTTGGGTACAAAGGCAGGTCCCTGCACAGGTCCCCACACCTGGCTTTTGGCCCTGAGTGACATGGGACCATCTCACTTCACAATGGTGGCAGGTGGCGGTAGTCACAGCTGAGCCTCTGCCAGCCCCACCTGTGGCCCCTGACCCCAGGCCATACTTGCCTGGTGCTCTGACTTCAGCCCCTTTATTCCTTCATTTGGGACAGGAAGGGACACCCCGTGGAGTCCAGCCGCAGCCTGCTGTTACAGTATCAGGGACAGGGATGGACAGGCTGGCCAGTCTTCCACTTGAGACCCAAAGCCGCCTCTGTCTAAAGTGAGGCCGGATTCTCATGGAGAGGGGGCTCCACACAGGCCTTTGAGGTGAAGCATGAAGTCCAACGTTGGGATAAACTGGGACCCCGTCCCCTCATCCCAGTTTCCCCTTGTGTCGCTGTTTGCCCAGCAGCCCAGCCAGATCCCGAGGACAGTTCCTCAGGAGGCAGCATGCGTCCTGGGTAGATAGAACCTGGCCTCCGGGGCCAGCCGGCAGGGCTTGCGCTCAGACCCAGTGCACTGTAAAGGAGCCAGCCCTTTCCCTTCAGGCCAGTGCTTCATCAGGTGAGGGAGGTTGAGGAGATCCCCTCCTTAACCAGGAGGTGGAACTCTAGTTTTATACAATCATGGCTGTGCTTACCTCTTTCCTGGCTCCAGCGGCTCTACTGGTCCATCCGATGAGCCATTCAGAACACATCCCACATCTCACTGGTCCTGACACGCCTGCCCTGGCATGCCTGCCCTGGCTCAAGCTGCCGCATCTCTCTCTGGGGCTTTCCAGCAGCCTCCTCACCACACTGCTCACCTGGCTGCTGATCGGTACACAGAAGCCAGGGTGGTGGGGACCTCTGAGGTCCCCCAGCTCAGCCACAGTAAACACTGATTCCTCACCATGGCTGCCAGCCCCATCTCTTTCCACTGCCCCTGCACAGTGCACTTCAGCACACTGGCCTCCATGTTCCTCCAAGGTGCTGGCCTGGTAGGTACTGCAGGGCCTTTGCACGCACCATCCTTTCACTTGGAGTGTTCTTCCCCCAGGCTTTGCCTGTCTGCCTGTGCTGTGGCTCTCAAGTCTGAGCTTCTAGGCCACTCCTCGGAGAGGCCTCCCCTGCTCTCTGTCCGTGAATCACCCCACTGACTGCAACAGGCTTCTTACAGATGTATCCTCAGTGCTCAACACACAGCAGCTCTTAGGAAATCCGAGCAACAGGCCCTGCCTCTCCTGTGGAGGTGACTGAGCTCAGGCCATGCCCCTGTCTTCCAGGTGTGTGTGATCGAGCCCCACAGCATGGAGTTTGCCCCGTGCCAGGTAGAGGCACGTGTGGGCCAGGCCCTGGAGCTGCCCCTGAGGATCAATGGCCTCATGCCCGGCGGGGCCGGCGAGGTGGTCACCTTGAGCGACTGCTCCCACTTTGACTTGGCTGTCGAGGTGGAGAACCAGGGTGTGTTCCAGCCACTCCCAGGTAAACCAGCGCTGCTGAGCAGGTGCCAGATACTGGGATTGGTTCCAGATCGCGTGGGTTCTCAGCATGGACCGCCAGATTCCCAAAGAGAGGGCTTGAGGCAGCAGAGGGGCTGCAGCATAAGGAATGGCAGTTGTCTCCTGATCCACCATCAGTTCCTGTCTGGCCTGGATCTTGCCCACCGTGTGACTTTGGCAGATCAGTGGCCTCACTCAGCTTCAGTTTTCACATCTCTAAGCTGTGTGTCATCTACATAGAATTACATCAAAGTGCCTGTTTTAGTCCCTGGAATGCAGTTGGTATTCAGAATGCGTTGTCAATAGGGGTTTGGTTAGTTCTAGAGTCCTCTCACCTGTGACAGGCCAGGCCCACCCATCTGTTCTCTGCCTCATCTGCTGTGGGGTTTTGGTGGTGACATGGGTGGAGTCTGACTGTGATAGTTTATCAAGTGTTAGCCCTGCCAGGACAGGACAGGCACTTTGCATGCCTGATCTCATTAGGACTTTACAACCACCCTAGGAGAAGGATCTGTTGTTGGCCCATGTGACAGATGAAGAAACTGAGGCTGTGTAGCTGTAGCTGCCCAATGTCACACATGGCCTGGGACAGGGATGGGGTGCAGATCTGGGTATGGCTGACTCTTGCCCTGGGGCTTTACTCACCTGTGAAATGGGCCCTAAAGATAAGGGAAGGAAGGGCTCCCTCTCTGATTTGCAGAAGAAGACCAAAGGACAAGGAACTATTGAATAGGAGTAAGATTTGGGCAGAGCATTGGAAGTGAACAGTGACAACATTTGGTGGGCAGGGGCGCCTGTAACCAGGGCCTGGAGGTAGGCAGTCCATGGTGCCTGTGCACATGGAGGACCGAGAACAGAGGACCCGTTGAATCACAGAGTGCTTTGGAGGGCTTGGACCTAATGTCCAGGCAGTAGGGGGAGCCACTGAAGGTTTTTGAACAGAAGAGCGATGTGATCCTGGCAGTGTTTAGGAAGCTTTATTGGCAGAGGGTTTGTAGGATCGCCTGTGGTGCCAAGTGGCTGTGCACGCAACTGTAGCTGTAATTCCGTGCAGAGCTTTTGCAGTTTGAAACTGCACAGAAGGAGGCCAGTATCTCTGAAAAATCCCTGAGCAAACTGCATCTAGGAGAAACTAAGCTCATGAAGTCTACAGTGTCATTGTCAGGTAATCATTTAGGTTGGAGGAAAAGCCTTGCGCATGGGAGAGGCCCGCTGACAGAAGGACATGAACCACTCCCCTGCACTGCCTGCCACAACCGTCCTGGAGGGAGGCTGCAGGGTGCTGCTCAGGCAGGGGGGCAGGTCCCAGGGAGGAAAGTTCACGGCTTGGAGTTCCACAGGCCTGGGTCTGAGCCACTCCACTCTCTTGCTATCTCTATGATGCCAGTGTGCTGCCCAGCCTCTCTGAGCCTTGGGTTCTTTAACTATAAAATGGGATGACAGCTCTTGCTTATTGTGATGGTTACAAGTGACTATCCCTCAGCACAATACAGGGTGTTTCTCCAGGAGTTTGACTTCTGAAAACAGCAGTCAAGATGGGAATCCTGTGGTGTCAAATTTCTCTTAGGAAGTGCCTTGCACTGCCCCTGGCCTGGGGCATGGTGTGCATGGTAATGTGTAGGGAGGTGTGTAGGGCCCAAGCTGTATGAAAATATGTATCTTAGAAACCTGGGCTCTGTCAGGACAGAGATGCTCACCCCACAGAAACCCATAGGACTCAAGAACAGGTCGGATCAGCAGGTTGACCTGTCCCTGTAATGCCCACCCTGGAGCTTACTCAGCTAAAGAAACAAATTTGGTCCCATGTTAGGTAAACTCCCTCTGCCACCTCCCAGGCTCAGACCACAGGTAGCCAGACTCTGATCATGGCTCTCAGGAGGAGCCCTGGTAGCCCTGGCCCAGGCTGACCTCCCTTCTGTGGCTCCCTCTGCTTACTGTAGTTGGACTTGGCAGTCCCATTTCTGCCTTGCCCTCTTGGGTGGCATCTTCTTGAAAGCCCCTGGGCTGTGGGCACTACTGTGACTCTCTCAACATGTCTTTGTGCTGGCATAGATGGACTTACAGAATAGAATACTGAGCCCAGATGAAAACCTGCTCATACATGGTGAAATGATTTTTGGCAAAGGTGCCAAGACTGTCCAATGGGGAAAGGACAGTCTGTTCACCAAATGGTGCTGGGACAACCAGGTATCCACATGTGTAAGTATGAAGTTAGACCCTTCCATAACTCCAAACACAAAAATTAAGTCACAGTGGATCAAAGACCTAATATAAAATTGAAAACTATAAAACTTCTAAAAGAAAACCAGAGGAAAGCTTCAGGACATTGGAATTGGCATTGATTTTTTGGCTATAACACCAGATGCACAGGCTACAAATTAAAAATAGACAAACTGGACTACAGCGAAATAAAACAGTTCTGTATATCAAAGGACACAACAGAGTACAAAGGCAACCTACAGAATGGGAGAACACATCTGCAAATTGTATAAGGGGTTCATATCTAGGATATGTAAAGAACTCCTACATCTCAGCAGCAATAACACCAATAACCCAATCAAACAGTAGGCCGAGGACTTGAATATTTGTCCGAAGCTGATACACAGACAACAAGCACACGGGAAGATGCTGAACGTCACTCATCATCAGAGTGGTGCAAATCAAACCCACAATGAAAAGTACTACCCTCCTTAGGATGGCTGCAATCAAAACAACAGAAAACAGCAAATGTTGACAAGGATGTGAAGACACTGGAGCTCTTATGCGCTGCTGGTGGGTATGCAAAAGGTGGTGCTGCTGTGGAAAGCAGTATGGTGGTTCTTCAAGAAAGTAAACATGGAGTTACCATATGATCCAGCAGGCAATCCCGCATCTGGGTGTACATCCAAAGGTGTTGAAAGCACGATCCCCAAGAGGTGTTTGTGCACCCATGTTCATGGCAGTGTTATTCACAATAGCCAAAAGGTGGAAGCAACCCAGGTGTCCACCGTTGGAAGAATGAATGAACACAATGAGGTCTATCCATACAGTGGAATATTATTCAGCCTTAAGAAGGAAGGAAATTCCGACCCATGCTACAACATGGAAGAGCCTTGAAGACATCATGCTCAGTGAAGTAAGCCAGTCCTTCACTGAGGACTTTTGTCCTCACAAAAGGACAAATACTTTATGATCCCACTTATATGAGATACCTAGAGTAACCAAATTCATGAAGACAGGAAGTATAATGGTAGTGGTCAGGGACTGGAGCGAGGAGAATTGGGAAGTTACTGTATATTGGGTGCAGAGTTTCAGTTTTGTAAGTTGAAGAGTTGTGTAGACAGATAGTAGCGATATTCACACGCTACATAAATGTGCTTAATGCCACTGAACTATACACACAAAAGGTGTTATGGTGGGAAATTTTATCTTACCTGTATTTTATCAGAATTTTTTTAAAACAATTTTTTTTTTAAAGATAAAATTTTAGACTGCGCATGGTGGCCCATGCCCGTAATCGCAGCATTTTGGGAGTCCGAGATGGGAGGATTGCTTGAGCCCAGGAGTTTGAGACCAGCCTGGGCAACATAATGGGACCATGCTTCTACAAAAAAATGAAAAAGTTATCCTGGTATGGTGGCTCACTCCTGTAGTCCCAGTTAGTCAGGAGGCTGAGGTAGAAGACTCACTTGAGCCTAGGAGGTAGAGGTTGCAGTGAGCCAAGATTGTGCCACTGCACTCCAGCCTGGGCAACAGAGCAAGACCCTGTCTCAAAAATAAAATAAAATAAAAATTTTAAAACTTAATTTAATAATGGCAGGGATGTAGGGCAGCCGTTGGCAGCAGTATAAAGTGACACAACCACTTTGGGAAGATATTTGACAACAGCAACCAACAATGACTACAGCTAAACAAATGCACGCCCTGCAGCCTAACACTACCTCTCTTAGGGATGCACCCAACAGAAATGCCCAGGTGTGTCCCCCAAGAGAAAGGCGCCCAGATGTTTACAGCAATACCATGTAACACAGTCCCAAACTGGAAGAAACCCAGATGCGCACCATAGCATGGGTCAGTCTATTGCTCTATATTCATATAACAGAATCATATGGAGAATGTGGACAAAGGATCCTCAAGTGTGACCAGTGAGAAATCCCATGAACACTGCTGAGGTGAGGAAGCCAGGCACAGAAGAGTTGTGCCCGTGGCTCCCTTTATGGGAACCATGCCAAGCAAGGCTCAGTTGCGCTGGTGGCACCAGGCGGGTGGTTTTCCTTTAGGGAGAGGCCAGATACCAGAAGGGTCTCCGGGAGATTCTGGGGGTACAGATAATATTCTGTTTGTTGATATGGGTGCTGCCTATAGGGTGGGTCCAGTATGTGGAAAAATCATTGTGAATTACATACTCATGTGAATTAAACATTATTTATTTATTTTTTTGAAACAGTTTTGCTCCCTCATTGCCTATGTAGGAGTGCAGTGGTGTGATCTTGGCTCACCGCAACCTCTGCCTCCCGGGTTCCAGCAATTCTCCTGCCTCAGCCTCCCGAGTAGCTGGGATTACAGACATGCGCCACCACGCCCGGCTAATTCTGTATTTTTAGTAGAGATGGGATTTCTCCGTGTTAGTCAGGCTAGTCTCAAACTTCCGACCTCAGGTGATCCGTGCGCCTCAGCCTCCAAAAGTGCTGGGATTGCAGGTGTGAGCCACCGCGCCTGGCCGTGAATTAAACATTTTTATTTTTCTTTTGAGACAGAGTTTCACTCTTACTGCCCGGGCTGGAATGCAGTAGTGCGATCTTGGCTCATCGCAACCTCTGCCTCCTGGGTTCAAGTGATTCTCCTGTCTCAGCCTCCTGAGTAACTGGGATTACAGGCATGTGCCACCATGCCTGGCTAATTTTTTGTATTTTTAGTGGAGACAGGGTTTCTCCATGTTGTCAGCTTGTCTCAAACTCCTGACCTCAGGTGATCCGCCCACCTCAGCCTCCCAAAGTGCTGGATTACAGGCATGAGCCACCGTGCCTGGCTGAATTAAACATTTTTAGTTAAAAAAAAATCACATCAAGGATCAAGCCTGGGATGAAAGAGGGGTGCCCCCAGCCTGTTGTGCCTTCCCCACCGAAGGTGATTTCAGGGCTGGCCACAGTGGCTCACGCCTGTAATCCCAGCACTTTGGGAGGCTGAGGTGGATGGATCACTTGAGGTCAGGAGTTCAAGACCAGCCTGGCCAACATGGCGAGTCCCCATCTCTACTAAAAAAATACAAAAATTAGCCAGGTGTAGTGGTCCATGCCTGTAGTCCCAGCTACCTGGGAGGCTGAGGCAGGAGAATCACTTGAACCCCAGAGGCGGAGGTCTCAGTGAGCCAAGATCATGCCACTGCACTCCAGCCTGGGCAACAGAGCAAGACTCCATCTCAAAAAAAAAAAAAAAAGTGATTTCAGGGTGACTATCTGGTTCTCTCCTTTCTGCAGGGAGGCTGCCGCCGGGCTCTGAGCACTGTAGCGGAGTCCGGGTAAAGGCCGAGGCCCAGGGCTCTACCACGCTCCTTGTGAGCTACAGACATGGCCACGTGCACCTGAGTGCCAAAATCACCATTGCTGCCTACCTGCCTCTCAAGGTGAGCCAGGGGCCCTGCCCTTTACCTCTCCCTTGCCCACTACTTCCCAGATGCAAATTACCCATTTGCTCTGACAAATTTGTGTGATAAACCCAATTCCTTCAAAATAGCTTTTGGCACAGCTCCCTCTCCCATGATTTCTGGCTGAAAGCAGGATCTGTGTGGAAGGAGCAGAGCCTCCCTGATGGGCAGTGGTTGTGGGCATCTCTGGTTACGCGAGACAGTGCTTGGCAGGCTTGGCAGGATACCGACCTGCCAGCCTCTCCCAATGAAGGTAGGAGTGTGGGCTGCAAGGGCTTCAGAAGTGTGTTCAGCAAGGGTCACAGGGGAGTGCTTCCACTCCACTCCAGAGCTAACCTTCAGGGTCCCCGTAGAGTCCTAGAATTGGGACAGCGGCCCTGTGGTATGGCAATGCTGAGACCTCCAAGACTGGGGTCAGAGAGGATCTGCCCTGGCCTAGTGTCCATCCATCCTGCCTCTCATCTGAGGACAGTGGTAGCCACAGCCTGTGCGGAGCAGAGCACATAGCCTCAGTGTCCATACCACCCTCCTGAGCCGAGTCCAGCCTGACCCCACCCACTCTTGGGCCTTACATTCCCTGCCTGTAAAATGGGGCTGAGACAGCTCTTGCCTCATGAGGTCGTGATGAGGATTTGCTGAGCTCACAAATGGAATGAGCTCAGAACACAGTCTAGGGGGTAGTGCAGGCTCAGGAAGGCTTAGTTATTAAACACGGGTAAAAAAGAACTGGGCCTTCCTCCGGGGTGGGTGTGAAGGCTCTATGCGAGGGCTGCCATGCAGGAGGCTGCTGACTGTAATCATCCCTTTCTTTGAACCCTGCCGAGCATGCAGGAGGCACAGAGAGGGTTCGTTGGTGGGAAGTTCCTGCTCCTCCTTACAGGGAGGGCTGGAGGGCAGGCCTGGGGGAGCCTCAGCCTTCCTGGCACGGTCAGGCAGTCCTTGCATTTTTCTGCTCCCAGTGTCAGCCTTAAAGACAGCTCCGGTCCTCATGGTTTGTACCATTTTTTTCTTCCTCTCACCCATTCATTGGAAGCAAGCTTGGTGATGTTAGGATTTCTTTTTCTTTTCTTTTCTTTTTTTTTTTTTTTTTTGAGATGGAGTTTCGCTCTTGTTGCCCAGGCTGGAGTGCAATGGCGCCATCTCTGCTCACCGCAACCACCGCCTCCCGGGGTTAAGCGATTCTCCTGCCTTGGCCTCCCCAGTAGCTGGGATTACAGGCATGTACCACCATCCCCGGCTAATTTTGTATTTTTAGTAGAGACAGGGTTTCTCCATGTTGGTCAGGCTGGTCCCGAACTCCTGACCTCAGATGATCCTCCCACCTCAGCCTCCCAAAGTATTGGGATTACAGGCATGAGCCACCGTGCCTGGCAATGTTAGGATCTTTTATCTCTGAACCCCTGGCCCTGGGTTCAGTGCCTGGCACAGAGCAGACACCAACCAAGGGTGGTTTTGTTTAGAATGAATGTGTGAGGAAATGTGTCCAAGGTCACCCAGCCAGGGCAGAAGTCAAGGCCTCCTGATCTCCAGAGCAAGCATAGCAGACACTTCTCAAATGTCCGTTAGTGATCAGAGGCTTAGCCCTGCTCCTCATCCTTCAGCACACAGGCATGAATACCTACTTGTGTAATCTCTGCAGCAAGCCCTAGAGATGCACCAGGGCAGAAAACACAGAACTTTTGTCCCCATGAAGTGACATTCTGGCAAAGAGAGGTAGAGACGACCATAAACAAAGCAAAGAATGTATTTTGCCTCTGCTTGCCATGGAAAAAGTAGAGCATGGAGGGGTGATGGGGGTGGAAGTTTAAAATGAGGAGATCAAGACCTGCCCCCACACCCCCACTCAAGCACAGCACTGCAGCAGGTGAGCGTCAGAGAGCAGAGTGGAGAGAGTTGAAATCCCTGAGAACAGCAGGCATTCTGGGGTTGCCCTGCGCACCTTCTGGGAGCTAGAGCATTTCACCAGGTACCTGGAGAGGGGTTCTTCAGGGCCCCTCCTGGCTCTGGATTATCAGGGCGTTTGGCTGGAGCAGCAGAAACCAGAAGCTGAGCTCACAGTCGTGGGCTGGAATGTAAGAATGAAGATAAGGTGGACGTGTCCCTCAGTGAGGTGGCTTCCTGATTGGACAGATTATAGAGAAAAGTGGATATGGGTCTCTTCTCCCTTCATCTGTCTTCTTCCTAGTTAGCAGTTAAGATCAGGTTTATTTACAAGGAACAAAAACCAAGTGACAGGGACTTAACCAATAGAGGAATTGATGTCTCTGTCGCACATGAGGAATATTTGGAATATTTGGGCTTTGACACCGGCTGAGGAGCCTGCACAGTGCATGAGCATCCTTCATCAGCTGCATTGTTAACCCGTCTCCTTGGCACAGGGTTCTATGATACTTTTATGCCTGAGGGAGAGAATTAAACACAAAGGTGATAATTCCTCATCCTCCGATTGTTAATTGTAGGACACACAGCTTCTTCGCACAGTTCTTTCAGTTTGGGCTGGTCATGAAAACATCTTTGGCAAGATATACAGTGGCCTGCTTTGCCCATAGTGGGGTTTTGTTGGTTGTGGCCACGAGATTTGGGTAAGAGCACGGGATCAAGAGTCAGAACAGACCTGGGCCCACTAGCTGGGTTAGCTTGGTTCAGTGTCTTCGTCTGCTGGGATTCATCCTTTCTGTCTTTAAAGTGGGGATGACAGTTAATAATCATAACAGTTTCTAACAGCAGGGGCCATTGATTGAGCATGTGCTAGTCACATATTCAGGTCTTTCATTCCAGCGCCTGAATCACAATAGTAGCCCGCGAGGTAGGCATTATCATTGTACGCATTTCACAGGCTGGGGAAACAGCCTTGTAGACATTAACTTGTTTAAGGTCCCAGACTAGCTTCATTCCAGTAGAGACAGAGAAGCAAATGCACAAATGATGGTATATCCAGTGATGGCTCAGGGGCATAGATGAAGAGTTGAGCTGGAAAGGAGGTGACAGGGGAAGAGAGACCCTGCTTTAGACAGGCCCAGCAGAGGCCTGCCTGAGGAGGTGACGCTCAGGCAGAGGCCTGAGTGGTGCACAGAACTGGGTTGTGCTGCTGTCTCCAGCGGGGAGTTCTGAGAGGAGCAGAGATGAAGGCCCTGAGCATACTTAGTGCTTCTCCTGCAGGAAACAGGGGCCACGCCTGACTCTGTAGAAGGTGGAGTCCGGGGATGGATTTCAACAGGGGCACCACGGGCCCCTTGGAATTGTTTGTGTGTGAGCACACATGTGCAGGGAGGGATGCCCAGAGACAGTTGATAGCCTATATCAGATTCAAAAAATGTTCATACTGAAAAACCAAGTCAAAAGGACAGAATTCTCATTTGAAAAGTCATAGTCTGTTCAGGTAACCTTAACAAAACACCTTGGACTGGGTGGCTTATAAACAACAGAAATTTCTTTCTTGCAGTTCAGGAGCTGGGAAGTCTAAAGTCAAGGTACCAGCAGATTTTGGTGACTAGTGAGGGCTTCCTTCCTTATAGATAGCCATAATTTGGATGTTCGTGTCCCCACAAAATACGTATGTTGAAACGCTGACCGCCACAGCAATGGAGCTGAGGCCTTTGAGGGGTGATTAGATCATGGGGGCAGAAGCTTCACGACTGGGATTAGTGCCCTTTTAAAAGAACCCAGAGAGCTAGCATGACCCTTCCACCATGTGCGGATGTGGTAAGAGGTTGTTTTTTTGTTTTTTTTTGTTTTTTTTTTTTTTGTGGGTGGGGAGGGAATATTTTTCTTATAAGGTTTTTCCTTCCTCATGTGCTTAAGATCATGCAATAGATGCAGAAGGAAACAGACACACCCTACCCTCCATGAGTCTATAGCCTGATCAGACCCCCAAGCCATGAAGCTCCTTCAGGGTGAGGAGCACCAGGTGAAGTGGGGCCCAGAGAAGAATCGCCTGGGCCGCAGGTCGGCGCTGGGTGGGAGAGGAAGCAGGGCTTTCTGGAGGCCAGTGTGCTGAGCCCTGCAATGTCAGGAGGGGTCGCCTAAGTGAGACAAGGATAGGAGAGTAGCCTCTGTGAAGGCCTGGGGACAGCTGAGCATGGCTCTCTAGAAGGATGCCACTAGTCTGAAGCTGGACCTGGGGCCAGGTTAGGAGAGCCCAAGTCCTAGGACAGAAGCTGAGCCTGTATTCCGAGGGCCGCGGGTGCTGTGGAATAGTTTAATGCACAAGGGACAGGGTGAGATCTCTGTCTTAGGAAGGGACACATGGGCAGCTCTTTGAGGGGAGAGTAGATGGGGCTAGCGGGGAGCAGATTGACAAGTGAGGACTTGGCAGTCACTGTAGTGGGACCCTCTGCAGTGGAGGGAGTCAAGGAGAGCAGGGCTGTGGGACTGGGACCCCTTAGGGTGAATCCCTCCTCTCTGCACCCCTGCTGTGTCACTGGAGGGAGAGGTCCTCCTGTGGAGTCCCCATGTCTTCCTGGAGGTTGACTGGGAATGACACCCTGTTACATAGAATCTAAGCACTGCCATTGCCCACACTGGGAGGCCATGGGGCCCTTGGCACCATGATTGCCCTAGGCCATGGAGGAAATGAGAGCTTTGTGTGAAATATTACTTTAATTCTTCCTTTGTTTACTGGGTACTTTAAGGCCACCACAGTTTTACTTGCCAACTCACTTTCACTCAACAAAGAATTGTTGAGCACCTGCTATGTGCGAGGCATGGTTCTAGGTGCCACAAGACTCGCCCTCGAAGCTCGTGCATACATGGTGCAAAGTGTGGGAAGCCCAGCGGCTCCGAAGGAAGGGAACAGACCACCTGCAATGGTGCCAGCGAGGACAACACAGGCTGCATCTCCCTTGGTCACCTGGTGGATATCTCTTTAGGATGGTTTTATGCTTTTTACAGCAAGATGGTTGTGATCCAACTGCACCATCAGATGTGTATCCTGCGCTTGTAGATCTTTGTGAAGACTGCTTTGGGGGCCCACATAAGGTTCTGTCACTGGGAAACACTACATGTACTGAGCCCCTTGTGCTGGAGTGTAGATTATTGTTGGTTATTTGCTGTGGGAAATAATAGTGTGATGAACATCTGTCTGTGCATTGACATGTTTCTCTCCATTGTGTTATTAGGTTAGGTTCCAGATAGGGAATTCCTGGGTTCCAGGGCTGTGGGTATTTTCAAGGCTTTTACCAGATTGTTTGACAAAAGAGGCAAATCCATGTACACCCTCCAGCAGTCTGTCAGAGTGAGGGCTTAATTCTATCTACACCCTACTCCTCTGGGTCTTTGCAACGATCCCCATGAGTGCTGCAGATGAGGAGAATGAGTTTCAAACAGGAGACTGGGCCCCACAGGCAGGGTGAGGATGCGGGGCTGGGATGCCCGGCTCCTGCCCGTGCTGCCTTAGAAGAATGCCAAGTCTTCTGCCTCTTCCATCTCCAGGCTGTGGATCCCTCCTCTGTTGCCTTGGTAACCCTGGGCTCCTCAAAGGAGATGCTGTTTGAAGGAGGTCCCAGACCTTGGATCCTCGAGCCTTCCAAGTTCTTCCAGAATGTCACCGCTGAGGACACTGACAGCATCGGCTTGGCTCTCTTTGCCCCCCATTCCTCCCGGAATTATCAGCAACACTGGATCCTTGTGACCTGTCAGGCCTTGGGTGAGCAGGTGAGTGGGCAGCTGCTCCAGACCCTCCTTGCCCTAAGGCAGGGGTGGAAAATGACTCTTTCTGTATTATTTTATTTACTCCTTGGAGTAACCCTGAGAGAAAACCACTCCCATTGTACCCATTTTACAGACAGGCAAACTGAGGCGTGGTTATGTGGAATTCAATGAACACTAGGCAGGTGTGGCAATGGGGACCTCCCGCTATGCCAGCTTTTGTAGAACAGGCCAGTTGGGTGGCTTGCCACCTCCGTGGGCTTCAGCATCCCCCACTAACCAAACCAGAGCTGGAGGCTTTGAGTTCGGGATAACAAGTCCAGTGTCTCCAGGGCTGTAAATGAATGAGACTATAGACCCAGGTTTGACACATCTTTTTGGTTTTTGAGGATAACCTGGAAATCACAATTTTTTTTTTTTTTTTTTGAGACAGAGTCTCGCTCTGTCGCCCAGGCTGGAGTGCAGTGGCCGGATCTCAGCTCACTGCAAGCTCCGCCTCCCAGGTTTACGCCATTCTCATCTCAGCCTCCCGAGTAGCTGGGACTACAGGCACCCGCCACCTCACCTGGCTAGTATGGGGTTTCACTGTGTTAGCCAGGATGGTCTTGATCTCCTGACCTCGTGATCCGCCCGTCTCGGCCTCCCAAAGTGCTGGGATTACAGGCTCGAGCCACCGCGCCCGGCCCACAATTTTTTTTTTTTTTTTGCATAATCTGTTAAGTTTTTTAATGCTGAAAACCAAAAGCTGAGGAGGCTGAGGGGACCAGACAAAACACATGTGTGACCTGAATCCCCACATGCTGGCTGGAGGGCATCTTGCTATTCAGGCGCCTCGGAATCTGGTACTCCTTCCCTGGGGAGGGTGGGCTGAGAGCTTGTGGGGCTTCTGGTGGGCATCTACTGCTCTATTTCCAAGGCAGGAAGCCCAGAGCAAAACGGGTATTCGGCGGGAATCAGGAAGATGGGAGAGAGCCCATTTCTTTGGGAAGTGAAGGATATTTCCTGCATGTGTAGCAGGGCAAAGAATGTCAATTGGCAATAAAACGCACATGCATGCCTCCCACGGTGCCCTTATGGCATCAGCCATGCCACAGCTGCCCTGGTATGGCCAGAAAAGGTGCCTGGTGATAGGTCCCATTCACCAGTGGGGTGGTTTTAGAAAAACAATAAAACACCAAGAACAATAACATCATAATAAGTAATATAATAAGAAGAACAAAATTCCTCATGAATTAAGTTGGATATATTTCTTATCCCTAACATGACCCCACCATCCCTGTCCCTTCTCAGGGCTGTAGGAATTTGACCCCCAAGTGGCATTACCTCTAGGGCCCTCCCAATCCATTGCTCTGTGGATTGGGAGCTATCCACAGGGGACACATGGGACACTGGGAGCACACAGAAAGCCTTCGTGGAGTCAGGGAGGACACTGCCCTTGGTCCTGCCTCATGGTCAGGAGAGGTGGGGGCTCGTGTCCTCCATCAAGTGCATGTCATCTGAGGAGGCTGAAGGTGCTACCTCAAAATGGGCCCTGAGCCATGGTGCTCCAAAAAAGAGGAAGCTGGATATGATTTCTGAGGTCCCAGCTCTCCAGGCAGACAGGTTTCCCTCTTTTCTTGCACCATGGATTCCCCTCTCTGCAGCAGCCCCTGGAGCTGCAGAGCATGAGCAGGCAGAGGGCAGGCCCTGCCTCCAGGCTGCAACTCTTCCTGGGTGTTGTCCTGCAGTGCTCCTATCTGATTGGCTTTCCCCAGTCATCATTCTGCAGCATGCACTTCCCACGTCTGTCCCTCGTTCCATGGGTGTTTTCACCTCCATATGGACTCCTCACTGAAGCATCCTTGAACTTGTGAATTTGCTAATGCAATTATGGGGTTTTCCTAGGGTCCTGGGAAACCATGAAGCCTCACCAAGTCTACCTCTTCCCTGAGATAGGAGCAGCCCATGGTTCTGGCTGACATTTGCAGAGGGCACGTGGACTCCCATCTGAGAGTCTCTTAAGTGTTGAGGAAGTGCTTTCCCACCTGTGTGCCACTGGGCATTTGTTAAGACCCTGTGGCATGGGTATCATGATCACTCCCATCCTATAGAGGAGAAAACTGAGTCAGAGGGTACTGGGGTGGGGTGTGGCACAGCTCAGAAAGGAGTGAGAACTCAAGCTTGGGGGTCTGACTGCTCACTGTGCCCTACCAGGTCATCGCCCTGTCGGTGGGGAACAAGCCCAGCCTCACCAACCCCTTCCCTGCGGTGGAGCCTGCTGTGGTGAAGTTCGTCTGCGCCCCACCGTCCAGGCTCACCCTTGCGCCTGTCTACACCAGCCCCCAGCTAGACCTGTCCTGTCCGCTGCTGCAGCAGAACAAGCAGGTGGTGAGTGTGGTCTATGCACAGGAGGAGGCGAGGGTGCCGCCCGCTTTGGCAGGACATTGGCGGCCTTGCCCATGGTCCCAAGCATTGTAACAGACATAGCTCCACGCTGCACTTCCTTTGTCTCAACAGCTGGCCCTGTGAGGGCGCTGGTTTCATTTGTGTTTTATATTCAAGGGACACACAGCTTGGAGAGGTGAGGGACATACAAAAGTCACAGCTACTAGTGGCAGTGTCAGATGAAGATAGGGTCCTCTTCCACATTCGCTGCCTGTCTTTGTTTGGCAGTTGGTAGTTTAAAAATATCTTGTTGTCTTCTGTGCCTTGAGGATGTTAAAATGCAGCTTGCTGTCTATGGACAGAGTATGTAGGGTCAGAGCAGGTGTGCGGGCTACTGAGGAGAGGTGACCAGCTGCAGCATCCCCATGATGTGGGGGACATGGGGCTGTGTTTCAGAAGTAAGGGTTAAGAGAGGAAGAAAGTCCTTGGGGGTCTAACGGCAGGGATGGTAAGGGAAGCCACAGGTCTGCTCCCCTTGGACTTGAGACGCATCCATGCCTTAGTCCCTAGGGCATTCAGAGCCCAGGGTATTGAGTGTGTCCAGTGTAAGGGACATGGGACACCCTCTGGCCAGCACCAGCCCCCAGCCCCTTTTCAGAGGAGGGGGTTGGGCAGCTCCTCACTCCTTGAGCATGTACTTACGGAGCATGTCCTCTGTGCCAGGCACAGGTCTGAGTTTTGGATTGCACGGTCATCAGGACAGGCAAGGAACCTGCCTCCTGGAGATGACAGGGAGACCAGGAGATGCACAAATAAGATGGATGAGAGGTGGCAAGGGCTGCAAGGGAGGTGAAATAGGGCACACAGCAGAGCGAGGAGGAGGCTGCTCAGGAGGAGCGGAATGGGGCTCTGAGGAGGGCATGTGCGAGCTCACTGTGATCTAACACTGTGAAACTCACTCCATTTATTCTTTGTGAGTCCTAGAGCAGACCCTGGCTCATAGGAGGAGATCAGTAACTAGGAGCGGTGGATGAGTGAACCAGCGAATGCACTGTGCATGTGCCACTCCTGTCTTAATGCTTGACTCTTGCAGACTCATGGGTGGAGAAGCCACACTGCTGGAGAACTGGCCAGGGAGTAGCTGAGCTGGAGAGTAGGTCCTCTCTGGACAGGCAGCCTGCTCAGCTCAGGGACAGTCACTTCAACCCCAGGCTGGCCCAGCTTTCTCGTTTTCAAAGAAAAACAAATCAAACCTATGTGCATCTTCCCCGTCCTTAGCGTTGGCTGTGAGCTGAGGGAGCCACGTTGGGGCTGGATTGTGCCTGGTCTGTCTGTTGGCCAGGACCTCTGCTTTAGCCCAGGGTTGTCTCCCTGGACTTAAATATGATGGCTGCAGGGCTTGACTCTGATTTGGCTTTGCACATCATAGATGTCGCCAGAAAATAATGGACCTCAAACATGGAGGAGTTGTGTGATCCATCAGTCCTCAGGTTCCTGAGCCACCAGCCAGCCATTCAGGCGTGACCCTGGCAATTTAGAGTCTCATTAGGGGACTTTTTTTCTTTATTTTTTTGAGACAGAGTCTCACTCTGTTGTCCAGGCTGGAGTGCAGTGGCGCAATCTCGGCTCACTGCAACCTCCGCCTCCCGGGTTCAAGTGATTCTCCTGCCTCAGCCTCCTGAGTAGCTGGGATTACAGGCGTGCACCACCACACCAGACTAATTTTTGTATTTTTAGTAGAGACACGGTTTCACCATATTTGTCAGGCTGGTCTCGAACTCCTGACCTCGTAATCTGCCCGCCTTGGCCTCCCAAAGTGTTGGGATTACAGGCATGAGTCACCATGCCTAGCCAGTCATTAGGGAACTTTGAGAAAGATATATCCCTGCAATGCAGCTTGGGTGCAGGATCAAGGTAATTTTATACTCTCCAACTTCAGAAGCTACCCAAGATGTGTTTGCAGATTAAATTATTGGTGAGGAGAGACACCAGAATGGAATTGACTGATCAGAATGACAAGATGGAGCCAGGCTCAGCCTGACCCTGGCCCTCCGAGCAGGTCCTCTAGTGTGTGGCTCGCTCACTGTGGGTGGGCACCAGTTGCATGGGACTGATTAGGGACTTGAGTGGGGCTGCCCCCAGATGAGACACCAGAGATTGACCACACTGAGTCAGGGGAGGTCCTTGGGCTCTAAAATCAGACCAACTGAGTTCCACCCCTAAACCTGTGTGACGTTGGACAAGTCATTTAACATTTAATGTCCCTGGACCTCAGCCTCCCTGTTTGTAAAATGGAGTTTATGTTGTTGCCTCAAATGGGTCAGCTAGCTTGCACATGTGCTTGGCCAGTGTCAATTTCCTTCCCTGGAAGAGCATTGGTTTTCCAGCCTGGGTTGCATCTGGGGGAGCCATGGAGCACCTAGGATAGGTCCCTGCAGCCTCTGCCAACACTTCCAGCTTCTATATTATGAATAATGATGAGACCTTTGCATGCCTGCTGATGGTGCTGGCCTACTCTGAGCAGGGCGTGGATTAAGAATTTGTAGCCTGCTTGAATCAAGTGTTCTGTGGGGGCAAGAGAGCTAAAAGGAATTGAGAGGAGCCCTCATGGTGCAGGTAGGGTGTTTTGTGACTGTATAAGTCGGACAGGCTGGGCCCGGCCAGGCTGCCACAGCAAACAAGCCCACATCCCATAGCTTCACATGGCACAAGCTCACCTCTTGCCCATGCTGCATGAGCCTCTCTGGTTGGCTGGGAGACCCTGCTTTGTGTCATTGTAGTCTTCGTTCCAAAACATGGGCTGTGGAGCAGCTACCATGTTGATTATGGCAGGTGCCACTGTGGAGAGAAAGGGAATGTGGCAGGTTGGGATCTGGCAGTGAAGCTTCCCCCTAGTCCCATTTCACATTTCACTGGCTAGAGCAAGTGCCTCGGTCACTTCTTTTTTTTTCTTTGCTCTGTCGCCCAGGCTGGAGTGCAGTGGCGCGATCTCGGCTCACTGCAAGCTCCGCCTCCCGGGTTCACGCCAATTCTTCTGCCTCAGCCTCCCGAGTAGCTGGAACTACAGGCACCCGCCACCACGCCCGGCTAATTATTTTGTATTTTTAGTAGAGACGGGGTTTCACCGTATTAGCCAGGCTGGTCTCAATCTGCTGATCTCGTGATCCGCCCGCCTCGACCTCCTAAAGTGCTGGGATTACAGGCGTGAGCCACGGTGCCCGGCCGTGCCTTGGTCACTTCTAACCAGAGGGTGAGAGAAGGGTAGTTCTTTCTGTGGGACCCCCCTCTCCCCGAATGGAAAACTGGCCGTTTGTGAATGACACTCATGGCTGCCCCCCTTCCTACCCACGTGTAGGAAGGCTCTCTAAAATGCCCTTGCAGTCCCCATATTTAAATCCACATCCTAGAAGGTGGGCTTGGTTGTGCTTTGTGTGTCACAGCTGGAGAAACTGAGGCTCAAGGAGTTCATAACTTGCCTGGGCACTGAGAGGTAGAGCTGGGACTCAGTCCAAGTTGTGGGGTCAGACACACTTGGCCTCTGCTTTGTGGCCCTGCCCACATTACCCCCATGCCATGTGGCCAGAGAAGGAGGGGATAGTCCACAGGAAAGAGGCTTGATTCAGCCGGTTTCTATGGGGAGAGTCTTCTCAGGGAGCAAGAGATCATGCCAGAGTGGTGGGAATCCAGGATTTGGACCTGCAGCCTGGAGTTCCCATCCCAAACCTCCTTGGATGAGCTCCTTTCCCTGCCTGGGCTTGTGCTTCCTTCACATGGGGATGATCTCTCCCACCTTCCTGGGACATTTAAGGATCGGGCGAGTATTCCACTTTGAAAGGAGCTGTGCAAACCTGGTAGCTCTGGGACATCTTAGGCATTGGAATCTGCATTCCTGTGAAACCCCTAGTGGGGCCATCCTAGAGGCACTGACATGTGCCTGGGTCGGGGGTGGCAATCATTTGGAAAGGTGAGGGCGGAGGGGAAGGAGAGCAGCCTGCCCACAGTAGTAGGTCAGGGTGGGAGTTCCCGGCTTCAGCACTGTTGACACTTGGGGAAATAGTTCCTGTGGGGGGCTGTCCTGTGTATTACAGGGTGTTAAGCAGCATCATGGACCTCTCCCAACTAGATGCCAGTGGCAACCCCCTGACTCATCAGTAGGGACAGCCAGAAATGCCTCCACTGTTGCTGAAAGCCCCCTAGTGGTTCTCATTCCATTGAGAGCTGTGGTCTGGAGCCAGAAGCCAACTTGGACAGGGCCATGGTGGGACCTGGTGGGTGGCAATAGTGAGGATTGCTTTCTGGCTCATCCCATTCCCTCGCCAGCACCCCCAAGAGCCCACAGGGCAGCTGCTGGCCTCAGAGTGCACTGCGTGGTTAATGTCCAGGTCTAGTCCTGGGTGTGACACAGCATCTGACCTGTGTCCCCTGCAGGTCCCAGTCTCCAGCCACCGCAACCCCCTGCTGGATCTGGCTGCTTACGACCAGGAGGGCCGCCGGTTCGACAACTTCAGCTCTCTGAGCATCCAGTGGGAGTCCACCAGGCCAGTGTTGGCCAGCATCGAGCCTGAGCTGCCCATGCAGCTGGTGTCCCAGGACGATGAGAGTGGCCAAAAGAAACTGCACGGTGAGCTGGGCGCTAGCCCAATGGCCCAGGCAGAACAGAGACCAGACAGGAAGCCTGCCAAGGTGGGCCCGTACCTGTGGGAGCTTAGTTATCTGCGCTTAGGTCCTGTTAACTCTTAACAATCCACGTAGTTTCAACATACACAGTTTTCTATTTTCGGATTCAAAACTGCAAATCAGGAGGGAGGGGCTGCTTCAGGGGTGGTGATGGGCAGACATCCAACGGTGGCTTCCCTCTTCCTGGTCTCAGGTTTGCAGGCCATTTTGGTTCACGAGGCATCAGGAACCACAGCCATCACTGCCACTGCCACTGGCTACCAGGAGTCCCACCTCAGCGCTGCCAGAACAAAGCAGCCGGTATCTCCCAGGGCCCAGTGGTGGGTGGGCTATGGGTAGCGGAGCAAGCCTCCTACTTCTGCTTAAATTCCACTGGGTGTCACAGTGTCCTGAGTCACTGTCTGCTCGACCGCCGCTCCCCAACCCCAGCCTCTTGGAGGCCCTAGGAGAGGCACTGCTATTAATAGTAGGGGACCAATAGATAACATTGGAGGTGGGAATGGGAAGGGCTCCTCAAGAACAGGCCTTCCTGGATAACAGCCACCTCATGGGGGATATAGCCATAAGAAAACTTAGGTCTTGAATAAGGTGGAGGCAGCAGGTACAGGCTGGAAGGAGAAGGTGGGACTGGATTCCCAGGGCCCCTAAATGCCAGGATGAGGCATTTGTATTGTCCTCCTGGGAGCAAACTTTGAAAGAGGCTGGGGCCCTATGGGGGCAGCACTGGGGAGGCTGGCCTGGAGGGAGGTGGTCGCTGAAGGGGCACACCTGTGCCTGTCCCTGATGGCTCAGTCCTCACTGGCACCAGGAGTCCCTTGATTGGGAGTGGGGGGGCATCATGGCCTCCTGCCTGATGCCTGAGCACCCTGACATGTTCCCCCCAGGACTTTGTACTTCCTCCCTCTGCCCTGATGTCCCCCCACCCCTCATTGCTGAGTCACTCAGGCTTCCTCCCCTTGCAGTCTCTGTTCCCCTGAGAGCTGCTCTCCCTTACAGACACCCTCCTGGTCCTTGTCACCCACACTGCACACCTTCCTGTCATTGACTCTTACTCTTCCATCCGTGCATTGGAGTCACCTCTCCCTGCGGGCAGTTGCTGCACCCTGAGTGCCTGGCACACCTGTGGCCCTGAGGAGGTGCTCAAACACATGACCTTCTGGAGACCTCAGATCTGGGTGGCTCCCTTGTGTGACACATGGTGGGAAGCAGAGCTTGGTGGGTCATGTGCCACCCTAGGGGATGAGGGTTCCTCTCCTGAGCCAGCCTTGGCCACTCTTCCAGGGGACACTCCCCCGATGCCCAGCCTGGCTGGCGGCCACACACTCCAAAGCTGGCCCTTTGCTGTGAGGTCCTGAAGGGCAGGGCGTGTGTGTGAGTTGCCAACCACTGGGGCCTGGTGGGTTGGGGTGGCGTCTTCTAAGCTGGATTGCTGCCAAACCCCTCCTCAGTCTGGAGTGGAGAAGCCAGCAACTCACTCCACCTCAGGAGGCTGAAGGGAGGCCTCAAAGGGTCTGTGGCCATTCTTCTGGGCTCAGGAGTACCAGGGGCTTGTGGCCGGGAGAAAGGCCAGGCCCTAGGGCCTTTGGCCTGCTGTTCCTGAGGGGCGGCCTGATCATGTCCTCCTGGATCTGATGGCCTTGCCCTTGCCCTTCAGCATGACCCTCTGGTGCCTGTGTCAGCCTCCATAGAGCTCATCCTGGTGGAGGACGTGAGGGTGAGCCCAGAAGAGGTGACCATCTACAACCACCCTGGCGTCCAGGTACCGTCCTTGCCCTGCCACCTTCCTGGGCGAGACCCATGGGGGCACTCCTCGCCCTCCCACATGCGGCCCAACCCTCCCTGCATCTACCTCCTGCAGGCGGAGCTCCGTGTCAGGGAAGGCTCAGGTTACTTCTTTCTCAACACCAGCACCGCAGATGTTGTCAAGGTGGCCTACCAGGAGGCCAGAGGTGTCGCCATGGTAAGCTTGGGCCATCAGTCCCCACTGTTGGTTTTCAGTCCTTATCTGGGCCGTTGCATGGTTAATTGATTGATTATTTTGAAAGCTAGCACTTGGCTCACACTCGGAATCCCAGAACTTTGGGAGGTCGAGGCAGGAAGATCACCTGAGCTCAGGAGTTCAAGACCAGCCTGGACAATATAGTGAGACCCCTATCTCTACAAAACCAATAAGAAAAATCAAAAGATTAGCTGGGCATGGTAGCACAGGCCTGTGGTCCGAGCTACACAAGAACCTGAGGCAGGAGGATTGCTTGAGCCCAGGAGGTTGAGGGGTGCATTGAGCAGAGGTCATGCTCCAGCCTGGGCAACAGACCTGGGTGAGAAACCCAGACCCTGTCTCCATAAAAACAAAAGCTGGCACTTAGTCACATCAGCTATAATTAGCAAGGTCTTTAGATTCTCTGATTCATTCTACAACTTTAGTCATTCTCATGAAACTTTTGTGATTTTTATTCCATGTCCACAAACTGTTAGTTACCTAATGGTTCCCTTTCAATCAATCCTTTAATTAAGATTAAAATATTATTCCATAAGGAGCACTGTAACAGCCATAAAGAAAATTGCTTTTAAAAGATGTCTGACCTTTCTCTATTTTCCTGTGTTTCTCTCTTGACCCTCTCCCTACTCTTGCAAGCATTGACTTAGCTGTGCTTGTGGCATGGAAGAATTTAGTGTTCTGCTTTTATTATGTTATTTTAAGTGTTTATGTTTTTTCATATTGCTAATGTAAGATGGCAGTCCATCTTCAAGTTTGCTAATGCTTTCTTTTGCCAGTTTAAATCTACTCTTGTGCCCTTCTGGTGAATTTTTCATTTCAGCTATTACACTTTTCAACTTAAGAATTTCTGTTTGGTTCTTTTTTTCCTCTAACTTTAACCTCTTTATTGATATTCTCTGTTTGATATGACATTGTTATCAAATCTTCCTTTACTCCCTTCATCATTGGTTGGTTGGAAGGCTTTGCCTGGTGAATCTGATCTCTGGTGTCCCTCATAGACAGTTTCTGTCATCTGCCTTTTTTCTGGAGTACGGGTCATGTTTTCCTGTTTGTTTATTTGTTTTCATGTCCTATAACTGTTGGAAACTGGACATTTTAGGTAATGTATTGTAGAAACTCTGGGTACTGATCCCCAATCCCCACGTTGGAGCTTGTTACTGTTATTTGCTTGTTTACTTCTTTAGTGACTGGTCTTGTTATTTTGCTGAACACACACACACTCACGCACACACACTTTTTCCCAGTAAGAAGTCTCTGATATTGCTCTTAGGGGTAACACCTTGGTATGTCCTTTGTTGCTCTGGGATGACTGTGGCCTTTGCAGGGCTTTTTTTGACTGTCTTTCACTGACCACTCAACTGTTGAGCTCCACTAATTGAGGCTGATTGCTCCACTGTCTTCAGTAATTCCCTTCTGACCCCAGGAGAGCTCTTCCCAGCTCTCTCTTTTTTTTTTTTTTTTTTTTTTTTTTTGAGATGGAGTCTCGCTCTGTCGCCCAGGCTGGAGTGCAGTGGCTGGATCTCAGCTCACTGCAAGCTCCGCCTCCCGGGTTCACGCCATTCTCCTGCCTCAGCCTCCCGAGTAGCTGGGACTACAGGCGCCCGCCAACTCGCCCGGCTAGTTTTTTTGCATTTTTTAGTAGAGATGGGGTTTCACTGTGTTAGCCAGGATGGTCTCGATCTCCTGACCTTGTGATCCCCCCGTCTCGGCCTCCCAAAGTGCTGGAATTACAGGCTTGAGCCACCGCGCCCAGCCCCAGCTCTCTCTTTTTCTGTTTCTCTCTGGCAAACTTGCCAGCCTCCAGTGTAGTCCACACCTCCCGGACTCTCTGTCACCTCCCAGTTGCCTTTCAGCACAACCTCCACCGTTTTGGAGAGTGCACTTAGGCTTGGACTTCTCCAAGCTCTGTTGCACATGAATTCAGTTCCTTTGGGAGCAACTCACACCTTCTGTTTTCTGAGTGCATTTAGCCCCTGTGCACCAGCTGCTTTTCCAGGCAAACTCTCTGAGCCAGAGCTATGGTGCTGGGCACAGTGGTGCATCTCTCTCTGGTGACACCAGCACATTAGGAGCTGGGCCCTTGGTGAGTGGGGCAGCAGCCCCAGTGTTCCTTGGCTGGCCTCTCTTAGCAGGGAACCCCACCCCACGAGCCAGGGAAGGGCGGCCAGGCCCCAGTATTCTCACGGGTGCTGCACCCAAGGCAGAGCCTTCATCCCACAAATGGGGTCTGGGTGGAAGATGGAAGCCCCCACCTCTGAGCCCACTTTCCTGGGACTCAGTCTCAGCAAGCTGTAGCTGGGGGCATGATAAGAAAAGAAAAACTGACACCTGCCCCTCCTAGGAAACGAATCCCCTGACCGAGAGCTGGGGGTGAGGGAGTCCTGTGATCTTGGAGGAACCAGTCGGGAGTGGAGCTCCACCTCGCTGGGGTGGAGGTCAGGGAGGACGGGCATCTTATTTCACATTCTACAGACCCTTGTTCTTCCCAGATATTAGCAGGTTTTCTCCAGTAAACGCTTCTTCATTTGCTGTGTGCCCTTGGAATCATCCCAGAGATTTTAAACGGCTGTGTGTGTGTTTCATGGGGAAGTCTGTGGCCTCCTTACACTGTCCTGCAGAACTGGCACCTCCGGCTGGTTTTTGACGTGTGGGGATGTGAGCCCTTTCAAGAGAAAATAGAGATCTCTATTTTTGTGTGAAACACCCCCGGTTTAATAAGTTTTTTAATTCAGTTTTTTTGTTTGGTGTTTGGGGTGATTTCGAAAACCTTCCTTCAGTGTTTGATGTTAGTCTCCAGCTGTCTTGCATAGAGGATGCTTTCTCAGTGCCGTGCCTCGGGGAGGGGGAGGGAGTCCCGCTGTTCATGTTCTTCCCAGAGGCAGACCCTTGGATGGCAGGACGCCCTCAGCACCTGGGAACACGCTTGTGGTTGGAGGACGCTGGAGGAGGCGAGGAGCCTGAGACCACAGGCAGTGTCCCCTAAGCATTCTTATCCACTCATAGAAGAAAGAACAATTCCCCAGCTCTTCCTCCAGCCATGCCAGTGAGAACCTTACACCTTAATTCTGACTGCTTGACATATGCCTTGTTTTGTTTACTTTTAGAAATTAATAAAAACTTCACCGTTACCAAGAAGAGGGGAGTTCCAAGTTAGGGAAAATGTGTACAGTGCCGGTGAAACCGGGGCACGCTCTCATTCACATTTACCTTGCACCTATCATTTTGTGCAAGCCCTGAGGGTAGACTTGTGACCAGAGGGAGACCTTTTCTCCAGGAACAAGAGTTCCTCGAGGTTGGTGATGGACTAGGCTGCCACTATAGATAGTAAGCTCCTTGTCTCTGGAGGCATTTGAGCAGAAACTGGGACACTTGTCTGAAAGACTCAAGGTGGGATTCCAGCATGGGAGTCAAGTCTCCCAGGAGACCTTTAAACCCCTCTTGAATCCTAAAATGCTGCGATTCTAGGAGTGTCTCTGCAGTTCTGTTTTACACGTGGCCACAGGAGAGCTCTGGCACTGTCTTTCTGGATTGTGGAATGGCGCCTGGCCTGGTTGAGTGACACAGAGTGCCTATTGCAGGCAGGACCCGGGACGAGTCTCCCCTATGGCAAGCAGCAGCCCGTGCCACAGGCCCTGTGAACTGCTCTGGTCCAGAGGTTTCCTTCCATGGAGGCGCCCTGCCCACTGGGGTCTTCACCTCCCTTCATTTCAGGCTTGTGCCAAAGACCCTCGCAACTCCAATCGGGCCCTGGTTCCTCTGGTCTCTTCTGAAGCCTGCGGGAGGAATTTTCCAGGGAGTATTGACGTCAGCAGCAGGTCCTGGTTGCTTCAGAAACAGTTGCAGGCGGCTGTTTCTGAGGGATGTCTACACGTGGCTGTGGCTTTTTCCAGCTGCTGAGCAGCAGCACAGAGATAGACAAGCCCCCAGCACTCCCTAGTTAGCTCACAGAAAGGGTTTCTTTCCTTCCTATTGATACATATTCAGCACGCAAAGATGGCTTGCAGGCATTGTGGCTTTGGAGTGTCTCTGGGGGGCTCTCTGGGGCTCACACAGCAGGGGTCCTTTGGAGGTTTTTATCCCCACACAGTGGACATGGGCTATGCAGGGCTGTGATGAATTTTGCTCACGCAGCCCCAGAACGCTCTGTAAGGGCCTTTATTTTGTTTCGGCTGGTTTGCACATGGAAGTGTTTATCCTATTTAAACCTAGGGTTTCCTTCTCAATGATTCTTTACATTTCAATCAAGTCCTCCAGGCAGAACCCATGAGATGACCAGAGCAGGGGAAGGAGCCTGCTGGGCACTTTACATTTCCCATTAATTCGTGCACTCAGCGACACTAGAGTGCGTATCGTGTGCCAGGTGCTGTGCTGGGCACTGCGGATTCAGGAGAGAATGAAGCCGGGGGGGCCGGCTTCTGTGAGCTGCGGCTGCGTCTCTCCATCTCCTGGATCCTATGAGCTGTGGCTGCGTCTCTCCATCTCCTGGGTCCTGTGAGGCACAGCCAGTCATGGGGCCATTGTTCAGGTGAGGATGCGTGTCCAGGATGAGTGGGGAGTGGTTGGCAACTGCAGGGCCTGAAGTCAGGTGCATCCTCCTTTTCCCTGAGACTGATCTGTGGACAGTAGTCCATGTCCCCAGTCCTCGCCCTTGGGAAGATCACAGGGCTGGCCACGTCCCTGTGTGAAGTTTCATCCAGCGCCCAGGCTAGGGCCCCACTCAGTGCCTATGCTTTTCATGTAAGCTTAGGTCTTTCCCTGCTGGCCTTGAGGGCGGGTAATCAGAGGCACACTCGCTTGGCACTGTCTGGCCCATCACGTGACATTGACAAGCAGCCTGCAGGAAATGGAAGCCAGTGGCTCTGTGACATTCAAAAATAGCTGCAAGGTCCCTTATCCCCTGCACTCGCCACCTGTCAGGGGACAAGTCTGAAATGTGATCAGGGCTCCAGGAAGTGGGGGCTGAGATGATGTGGGCAGAGCCTTGGGGCCTGGCAAGCTCTGAGGTATTTGACAGTTTCAGTCCCACGTGTGCAGAGCTGCCTCTGGCTGCACTCAGCGTCTTAATGAACAACGACACATTTGTCATCTCTGACTTGACAGAACTTTCCCCTCGGCTCAGTGTTTCCCAGTGTTCTCAGGTGGCACCTTCAACACTCAAAAATTAAAATTCATTCTGGGCATGGGTCACCACTACCTCTTTCCCCTTGCAAACGTTCTCCCGTGTGTCAATCAAGAAGCAGATGTGTCTGGAAAGCACAGAGAAGCTGTGTGGTGTGAGCCACCATGCACAGTGTAGTTAGGAGCGGGTGCAGTGTCCCGCTCTGCCACCAGCTAGCGGCCAAGTGCCCTCCATTACCCAAGCCTCCAGAGTGGCCTAGAGGGCGCCCCCTTACAGCATCTCTGTAGGGTACATTTAGCCACTGTGCACCAGCCTGAGGGGCAGGCCACGCTTTGAGGGCTCCAGAGATGGTGGCTGGATGCCCATCCCCTGGGAAATCAAGTGGCAGAGCAATTGATTTCCCCACTGCCATTTTAGGTCTTTGTTTAAAAAGTGCAAGATGGTTCTTCTAAAGGAGAAAAAAGAAAGAGAAAAAGCCCTTCCCTGCATTACCCTGTGTTGCCCTGCGTGAGGCTCCTCAGTCAGTGCACTATGGAATTTCTTCACATCGTGAGGGACCTGCCCACTCCTGACAGCAGTAACTATAGTAGGAGTTTCAGGTTGGAAACTTAAATTGGGTTCTCAAAGAAAGCTGTCATTACTCTCTGTAATTTTTCAATGAGTTTTCTTTGAGAGAAATGTAATAACCTGGGGTGAATCAGCCCCAGCAAAACCAGAAACCTGGTGGCTCCTGGACCCTGCTTCTCAGCCCATACCTGACACTAGGCTCATGTGGCGATGGCTCCAGTCACAAAGCTATTGTTCGGTAGTATAAGCATGACATCTACTCCGGGATCTTTATTCACCTACTGTAAGTCATTGTGTGGAATAACCCAGGCATGCTTTGTGTGTGTTGATATACCCATCATTATACAGGTGGTGTGTGTAGCTCGGGCCAGCTTGTTGATCCTCCATACCCCCAGCCAGCCGTGGGCTTGGGCCCTTCTCAGCTAGGCCTTTGCTTTTATCCACTCTTCCCAGCACCATAGTTCCGTTCTGGCTGCAGGAGGCCTCCAGCCCCATTCCCCTGGGAAGTGGAGAGTCAGGGGAGGAGCCTAAATTGGGAGTTAGGGTATTTGGTTCTATCCCTAGCTCTGCCTTTTCAAAACCATATCCTTGTCCCGTCATCTGGGCCTCAGTTAACTCATTTGTACATTGAAGAGGTTGGACCAGAATCAGCACTTTCCAAATAAGTGAAGGTCCATTAGGTTTGCAGGCGATTTTCAGAATTTCCAAGTCTTAACAAAGCTGGTTTTACTCTGTAAAGCTGAGCAGGCTGGAGCTCCAGGTTCCATGACCTTATCCAGAATTACTCAGAGCAGCGGCCCTGGATCTTCATCCAATCAAGACATGTTTATAGGAGGCTAGGCTGTACCAGATGCTGAGCTGAGTCCCAAGGGCATGTGAGTGCTGGTGACAGCCTGGAGGGGAAGGCCGTGTGCACTCTGGGTCCCATCAACACTGATGGCACCTGGCAGGCCCAGCCCCCGAGAGAGGGGAGAGATGCTGGAGGAGCTGACATGGATGAGGGAAGACTGTTCTGAGGAAAGACACTGGACCCGGGCCTGAAGGATGACTTGGAGCCAGCAGGTGGAGGCTGGGGAAAGAGTCCAGGTCTTTAAGGTGGGCTGCGAGGTCCGGAGGCAGGCAGGCAGCAGTTAGCTGTCTGTATGAGTGGGAGAGAAGGCCTGTGTGGCTGGAGCATAAGTGTAGTGGGGGAGTGTGCTCTGCGTGGAATCTGGAGGGGAGGCAGGGGCCGGGCCATACTAGGCTTTACAGGGCGTGCTAAGGCTTTGAGCTCATTCTCAGAGCACTGGGCAGTTGTTGAAAGGTTGATGTTGGGTGTGATGTGATCCTATTTGGTTGTCACCTTTGGGTCAGAAACCTTATTTTTATTTTATTTTATTTTTGTAGCTTCTTGATATTGAAACTCTAGCTTTGCAAACCCTGAAGTGCTTACTTTAAAACCCCTTGCTCCCCACCCCATGAATACGAGACCACAAAGAGCAAGCAACAAAGCCAGGCCCAGATAGAGGAGTGGGGCAGCTGGCTAGACTCGCCTCATGGCCTGTCCCTGCTTGCCCAGCTCCAAGATCACCTGGGTGAAATATGCGTCTAAGCATTAAGACAAGCTGTGTGAATTCCATCATAAACAGACACGTTACTTGTGTGAATGCCCATCTTCTGCAGCCTCAGAGGGTGATTGTGATGTACTTTCTTGGGGGAGAGAGTCTTGAAGGTAGAATCCCTAAAAGTGGGTAGAGAGAAAAGGATTAAAAGGTGGGCTCTTGCCTTGAGCCCAGGAGTTTGAGGTTGTAGTGAGCTGTGATCCCGTCACTGTACTCCAGCCTTGGGGACAGAGTGAGACCCTGTCTCTAAAAATAATAAATACAATAAATAAATGTTAAAAGGGTCTTTGGCAGTGAAAAGGCTGGAAAAAACTAGCTCTGATTTGTTCATTCACTCGCAACACCTTGGCAGTCACTGCTTCACACAGAGCTGGGGATGTGATGAGACACAAAGATGAGCAAGATGCACATAGCTCATACTGGGGTGGCCTTGCGGGCCGCTCCCAGGCTCTGTGGTTCCATCAGTCTGATTGGGACTTCCTGTGCAAGCTGCCATTGGAAAGCATCTGCCTCGTTTTCTGCCAGCCCCTGACTTGCAGTTTCACAGAAGACCCCACAGAGTGCTTCTCTACCACCAGGGCTGCAGCAGCAGGTGACCAGCTCAGGATGTGGCATCCTGGGACTGCATCCTCACTCTGCCCTGAAGTTGGTGCATGTCCCAAGGCTGCTGACTGGCCCCTTTGGAGCAGCTTCCATTTTCTTCTCTTTGTAAAATATGCAAATGGAGATCAATGCTCTGTGAGATCCAGCCTGGCACTAATGTGTTATATCCCAAGCCCATCTCCTGGCCAGCAGTGGGGCTCATGACGAGAGGTGGGTAGGACACTATCTGGTGTAGGATTTCCCTTGTCCACTGCTTCCCAGTGCTGGCCTGGAGGACTCTGCCACTGGCATCCCATGAGGTGACAGGCTGTGCTGAGGGCGAGGTGCTGCTCACGGACCTGAGCAGGGGGGCGCCCTACAGCTGCATAATCCAGCAGCACCCACCCCTCCACCCCTGCCCCAACATTGCAGGTGCACCCTTTGCTCCCGGGCTCATCCACCATCATGATCCATGACTTGTGCCTCGTCTTCCCGGCCCCAGCCAAGGCTGTGGTTTACGTGTCGGACATTCAGGAGCTGTACATCCGTGTGGTTGACAAGGTCAGTGGAAGCTTCATGATGGGACACCCTCGGCTGACCTGCAGGAACTGGGAGGGAGGGGACTGTGGGAAGAATGTTCTGCATGGCCTTTGCTTTTTGCTCCTGGAGTCTGCATCCCTTCCCCTGTGAGCTTGCAGAGCTGTCTCCCATCTCCTTCGCTCCATGTGGAGGATCCAGAGTCCCTTCGGTAAGGGACTTCTTCATCCCAGGTGACATCCCCATGAGGCTTGGCAGTAAATCCTGCTGGAAGTTGTCTCTAAATTAGCCATGACCTGGGAATTCCATGTCTTCTGGCCATTGTAGGTTATTAACCAGCCAGGCACATGCCCTGCTGAGCATGAATTTTCTTCCCAGAATATAGATTTTGGGTTCTCTGGGGTTTCAGTGGCAAATGAGCACAATTCACCCATGCCAAGCACCATGGAAAAAAGAGACAAGGAATAGATCTCGGTTTATCTTTCACATCGATAGGGAATTTTTATTACTCCAAATATCTGAGGTAGCTGAAGCTGGGCTTTCAGAGGGTTGCGATCAAATTCCTCGGTGGATAGAAGGGCTGGTAATTAAAAGGGGAGTGTTCATGCGGCTTAGGCTCCTTAAGAAGCTAATATGCTCTGCCCAGCCCCACATACTCCTCCTATAGTCTCATTTTCACTGCTGTTTGCTAATCATCTGTTTCTTCACTGTGTATTTCTGATTCTCATTTCCTAATGTTCTTACTGTATTATACACTGCCAGGTGTGAGCTGTTCAGTCAGTCAGCATTTATTGAGCTCCTACTGGATGCTGCTGTTCTGAGTGGTGTTTCATCTCCCTAATTAGTGTATTAGTTATTTAAGAGTAGAATGTGGAATTTATGCCTCTAAGTATCCCCAAGCTCCCCCTCATCAATTTTCATTTGGTGACTGGCTGATAGTCGAGAAGTCAACCTGGGTGACTCTCCTGATTCCCAGGTCTGTGGATTGAGGTTGGTGATGCTATCTCAGAAAGTCATGGGGCACCATAGATGGTAGGATTGGTCTTTTGGAGGCCGCCCCTGAACCTCTGTCCCCACGATGCAGGTGGAGATTGGGAAGACAGTGAAGGCATACGTCCGTGTGCTGGACTTGCACAAGAAGCCCTTCCTGGCCAAATACTTCCCCTTCATGGACCTGAAGCTCCGAGCAGCCTCCCCGATCATTACATTGGTGTGAGTTCTCCTAGGGGTCAGAGGAGGGCACCTCAGACAGCGCTGACCCCAGCTGCAGCCTTTCCCATGGGGTGGTCTTAGAGAAGTCCCAGCCCTTCCCTCTGTTTCAGGGCCCTTGATGAAGTCCTTGACAACTACACCATCACATTCCTCATCCACGGCGTGACCATCGGCCAGACCAGTCTAACTGCAAGTGTGACCAATAAAGCTGGACAGAGAATCAACTCAGCCCCACAACAGATTGAAGTAAGACGGGTTCTTCCCACACTATGTGGGATCAGCCCAGTGCTGGGGGTTGGAGGTGTCTTTATAGTTGGGGGTATCTTTATAGTACAGTCCAGGAAGCTACTGTGGAGAAGCCATATAAAAGTTTGTGCCCCACAATGTCCTCTCATCAAAAGGCAGCTGTTACTAGCTCCAGGGCTCTGGGAGGCAACAAAGTTGGACCGGCAGAACCAGAGGGAGGGGGCCAAGTGACTTTACTTTTCCTCTGTGACATGGGGGATTGTGTGGCTCAGAGAAGGGGTGTGCCTGGTCACATGGCAAGGGGACACACCAGGACCATTCCCAGAAAGCACTGACTGGGCGGAAGCTTAGACAGATGCTGGCTCATGTGTAGAAGAACTCCTTAACCATTGATCCTGAGCCATAGAACAGGCGCTTTGAGGGCATTGGGCACCTGTCACAGGGGCTGTGTGAGCAGAGGTATCATAAAGGGAACTCCTGAAGTAGGTGATTCCTGGATGAGAGGTGCTTTGAGGTCCCCACACCGGCTCAGTGTGTGGTATGGGGCTGTCTCGGGAGATTAGGTTATGACAGGAGCCCCACTGCAGCCATAGGCCACAGCAGTTGTGGCCCAGGCATCATTTGAAGTCTATACACAGCAGCAGCATTAAACCAGCCCTGCCAGCATCCTCCCTGCGTCTGGGCCACGTTGGGGCTGGTGAGCATCATTAATCTGTGATCCAAAGCAGGTGGGTGCCATCTGTGTCTCTAGATGGAAGCGCACCTTTCTTCTTCTGGTGATGAGAAATTTGTTTCTGCCCATCAATAGCGCAGCTGCAGAGACCGATACTCCCACACAAGTAGCACCCTGGCCACCTCCTGCATTCACTCACCTACTCCTGCCAGGCAGGCACTTGTAGGGGTTGCAGGAGGAGCAGGTGGGGGCTTCACCTGCTCCACAGAGTGGCATCAACATCCCTGGTCTCCTCCCAGGCTAATCCGAAGGGTGTGCTAGGAGAAGAGCAACCTCTGGGGCTGTGGGTGCTCCCATATTGGCGGGGCTACCCTGTGGGGCTACCTCTGGCTCCACAGGCCAGGTGGCTGGGGATGTACATTGCTAATGTGTCCCCGGGCGCTGCTGCCATTGCTGCTTAGTGACCACACACTGAGAACCGCTGCTCTGAGGGGATGACTCAACTGCATAAAAGCCATCCCTCCAAGGGGACGGCCCAGCTTTTGGAGTTTAGCATCTAGGCAAAGTGAAACACAGTCACAAACAGAAGAACACACCCCAGAGAACCAGGGAGCCTCGGTCAGTGACTGGGAGACGGCCCCCAGCACTGGCCCAGGACCCTGGCCTTTCTGGTCACTGCTCAGAGAGGGGTGATGTCCACGCCCCAAGTTTTCCTCTCATGAAACATGTAGCACATGAGTTATGCTCAGTGCTGTGGGCTTGGGGCACAGCAGTCCTTACTCTCCTGTGTCTCCCAACAGGTCTTTCCCCCGTTCAGGCTGATGCCCAGGAAGGTGACACTGCTTATCGGGGCCACGATGCAGGTGAGAGCCGAGAGGCCATGTCCTGCTCCAGCCCCAGTGCAGGCCACCACCCGGTTCCAGGCACGCTACCTCTGGCCCTGCATGCAGTGACTGGGAGAAGAAGGCAGAAGCTGCCTGCACTGGGGCCCTGGCTCTCTGAGTGGGAGGCGCGGGCTGCCTGGCATGATGGGCACTGACACACCGCTCTTTCCTCCCTGCTCAGGTCACCTCCGAGGGCGGCCCCCAGCCTCAGTCCAACATCCTTTTCTCCATCAGCAATGAGAGCGTTGCACTGGTGAGTGCTGCCGGGCTGGTACGAGGCCTCGCCGTCGGGAACGGCACTGTGTCTGGGCTTGTGCAGGCAGTGGATGCAGAGACTGGCAAGGTGGTCATCATCTCTCAGGTAACAGGCGTGCTATTGGAGACTGGCACTCTCTGAACCCCCTGGGATGGCCAGCTCTGGCGATGGGCCCATTGCTTCCCAAGGCAGCTGTGCCTGGGACAGAAGCCTCTACTGTGTTTGGGTTCCGCCTCTGAGTACCACCCCTCTCCAAGGGTACTGCTTCGGCCCTCTGGATCTGCAGTCCCTGCAGGGACCCTGGTGCAGGACAGCCCTGCCGATACGCACCCAGACCCCCAGAGGTTGCTCTTCTCCAGGTTGAGTCTCCCAGTCCTTCCAGCTGCTCCTTACAGGGCAGGGTGTTCAGCAACCCCCAGCCCCAAAGGGCCCTTCCAGTAGAGGATGATGGCACTCGTGGTGAGGGCAGGCGCTGCTTTGAGCACTTTGCCTTCATCTCCTTGAGTCCTCTCAGGGCTCAGGGCTAAAATCAGAGCCTTTGCATTCTGCCTGACCTGCTTCGCCAGCAGTGACTTGCTGAAGCATCTTGGAAGACTGCTTTGGGGTTCTACTCACAGCTGCGCCAGAAACTTGGTCTGTAAGAAGAGCCTTCTGTGATGTGTAATGCAACTGTGGACAGAAACCCGTTTCAGAGTCAGTCATCCCATTCTTCATGAGAACTAGGTCCCCTGGAAGCAGTCCGTGCGGTCCTGAGTTCAGAGCCTGTAAACACAGCGCCCCAGGAGCTGGCGAGTACACAGCTCCAGACAGGGTGCAGGGAAGTCCTTGTTCTCAGAGGCTGACTTTGATCACTGAGTTCACTGATTTACTCCTTTTCCCAGTGTGTGTCAATTTTGAAGACAAAGAGAAAGCCTTGGGGATGTAAAAACCTGTCCTAGGGATGGGGCAGAGTTCAGATGGGCTTCCTGGAGCGTGACATTCAGGACCACAGGAGACTGTATGTTTTTTTTTTTTTTTTTCCCTCTAAAAAGGAGTGCATCCTCAGGAGCTGGCTGGTTTTTCTCCTAAGGGCGTAGGTAAAGGGCAGCTTCCTAGAAATTCAGCAAGAGGGGCACAGGGCCCTGTGTTTTCCTTGTCTTTGTGGTCTAACCTTGCTGGGCACCCTCTCTTCTAGGTCCCCCATCTGGCGAGTTGGGGAGGTGCTGAGGAAAGGCCCTGGTGGTCTTGGCAGGTGGAGGGGCTGCACCACCAGCCCTATCTGAAAGGCATGTTCTTGAGCTTAGGCAGGCAGGGGCTTCACCTGTGGCCCCTTGTCCATGCCTGGAATGTGATTCTGGTCAGATGCTTCCAGTTCCATCTGTCCAATCCAGGTCACACAGCCAGCACCCCAAGGCCACGGGGTAGGCAAGGACGAGCAGGAGGAGACTGAGCAGAAGGATGAGTGAAAGGAGGGGAATGGGTTTTTATCAAGCACCTACTGTGTGCCAGGCATTAGCCCAAGTCATGAGGCTCAGAAGATGGGCTCAGCATGAGCACGTCAAAGGGCCTAAGGGTTTTAATAGCCTCAGTTCAGCATGACTCAGCAGCACTAGGAGGAAGCCAGGAGAGTTAGTCTTTGGCCAGATTAATAGGAGTGTGGAGTTGAGAATGAAGGAGGTTATAAATTCTGATCAGACTCTACAGGGCTCCTGCATTCGTCCCTGTACGCTGCTCAGTCAGAGACAGGCAGGTTGGATTTGGGGTTGGGAGGGCCTGGAGACCCGTTGCTTGAGGGCAGCCAGGCCTAAGGAAGAGCAGGCACCAGTTCCCGGCCCCAAGTCTGCAGTGCTGACCCGGAGCAGCTGGATCAGACAGGGCGGCAGCCTCAGAGGACTGGACTGGGACCTATGGGACCTTGGGAGAGGCAGTGGCTGGCCCATGAAGGACGAGCCGCCCACAAAGCCAGGCCTCCCGGGGCAGAGGAGCACGGTGCTGGTCATCCTGAGGGGCTTTCTCGCCACAGATTCTGAGCCACAGCCTCCTTCCCTTGAGGGGTCCCTTCCTGAAACATCCCTGGCCAGCACAGCATCCCCGCACCTAAGTGCCAGCCTCTTTCCCCAGGACCTCGTGCAGGTGGAGGTGCTGCTGCTACGGGCCGTGAGAATCCGCGCCCCCATCATGCGGATGAGAACAGGCACCCAGGTGAGCTGACCTCCTGGGCTCTGAATGCTGGTTCCCGAAGAGCCACTGCTGGAACCCTGTCCTCGAGTTAGAGTGCTTCTCCACCTCCTCCATCTCCCTGGCCCGGGTATCTAGGGCCTGCTTCTCACCTGTCCCCGCCCAGGGAGACACCCTCCATTGCTCTCTGGTAGCCACTGATGGAAGGCCTGCTTCCTGCTGGCCTGTCACCTTCCCACATCTGGAATAACACCAGATGCCTAACAGGAGCACAGTGACCGTGGCACTTACTCCACTCCGTGCTGTCTTGGACATTAATCCATTTGGTGTTCATAGCAGCCCTGGGAGGTTAGTGTCAGAACCATCTTGGTATTGCAGATGAACAAATGAACACACAGAAAGCTTAAGGCCCGTGCCCAGGGCCACACAGCTAGGAAGTGGCAGCACTGGGAGTGGACTGGGCAGCCTGGCACGGCACCTGCTGTGGCCTTTTACCATCTTGCCTCCACCTGTGCCCTCAAGCCAACTCAGCAAATAAGAGACTAAAGGAGCTGGGGACCGCACCCACACATGCCCTGTGAGCAGGGACCCCGGCTAGATTAGGAGAGGGGCCTGGAGGAACCAGTACTGTGGGGCAGTGCGAGCTGTGCTGTTGGTGGACCCATGGCCTCCTAGAGCTCCAGGGACTCCTTCCAGAAATGAGTCTCTTGGCCATGGAGAGGCACAGCCTGCTGCAGGGGAGGGACAGTGTGGGGAAAACAGTCCCACCTCTGGTTTGCTCGTTTGATATTTCATCAAAATTCCCAAACCTGTGCCGTGCTCTTCTCTGGTTGGGGAAGAATTGGGTTCGTCTCCCACTGCTTGAAGGAGGCAGCAAAGCTTCTGGGGGCATTCCCAGTGCTGGGAACTACTGCTTCTGACTTCTTCCTGCAGATGCCCGTATATGTCACTGGCATCACCAACCACCAGAACCCTTTCTCCTTTGGCAATGCCGTGCCAGGCCTGACCTTCCATTGGTCTGTCACCAAGCGGGACGTCCTGGACCTCCGAGGGCGGCACCACGAGGTAGGTAACCATCCCCCCAGAGCTCACCTCCCAGCCCTGTCCCAGGCTAGCACCCCGAGGGTCAGGGAGGGTTCCCGCCACATTGTCTCAGAGGAGGTCCTCATCCTCACACCTAGAGAGGCCCTCCCGCTTTCATCCCTCTCCCGAGGCTCATCGGGACTCCCTTCTCTCAAATGCTAACCACGCAGACAGAGTGAGTAGGTGCCTCTCCTGACAGAAGCGGCCGTGTGAGGAAGTCACAAAAGTCCTGGGAGGTCAGAGTCTGCAGCTTCTGACCATTTTCTGAGATGATGCCTGGCAGCCCTCGGTTTCTCTTGGTTCATCCCAGAGGCCAAACTCTCCTTCCCTTAGCCCAGCGAGGGGCCCTGGCTCCTCCTAAGATGTCAGAGCTGGAAGGTGCCGGGGAGATTACTAAGTCCCTCTGTGTTAACTGAGGCCAGAAACAGGAAGGGACTTGCCCAGGGTTGCCCAGCAAGCCAGTGGGGAAATGGGACTGGACACCAGCCCCTGTGACTCTAGGCTCAAGCCCAGGTGGGTCTTGGACACACAGGACCCAAGTGGAGGGTGGCTTGAAAGGTCGCTCCCTGCCTCATTCAGGGACAGTGGGGATGGAGGCCTGGAAAGAGGCCCAGACCCAGGGATGGGATTCCCTAAAGGCTGTCTGAAGCTTGTCTAGTGTAGGACTAATGCCCCCCACAACCCTACTCAGTGGGAACAGGGTCCTGTCCCTGGTGCCTGGGGGCTCCCCCACATTGCCCCCATGGAGCACAAGCAGTGAGACTTATTAACAGATATCCCAAAACAAAGCAGTCTGCAGGGACACACTGCAAAACCCAGCATCGCTCTGGGCGACCTACAAGCACTGAAGTCTGAGGGACAACCTGTCATGAAGGCCCTTGGCTTATGTGGGTGGGCCCAGTGTTTTCCAAATGCATCTGTGCACGTTGTGCAATGCAGGCAGGGCAGGACCTGGGCACCCAAGCTGGGGAAGCCGGGTCTGCACAGCTCTGGAGTTAGCAGACCCAACCCGGGCAGGAAGGCAGGGCCCTTGAGAATAGGCCAACAGCTGCCAGGAGGAGGGCTTGGGGGTTCTGGGCCTACTGTCCAGCTTTGCCTTTTTGAGGACACAGGGACCTGGGCTTTACACTTGAAAATGTGTTTGATGTCTTCCAGGCGTCGATCCGACTCCCGTCACAGTACAACTTTGCCATGAACGTGCTTGGCCGGGTGAAAGGCCGGACCGGGCTGAGGGTGGTGGTCAAGGCTGTGGACCCCACATCGGGGCAGCTGTATGGCCTGGCTAGAGAACTCTCGGATGAGATCCAAGTCCAGGTAGGAGGCAGGTGGACAGGCCACAGGGAAGGGGGAGAGGAAGTGCCAGCTGCCCAATCCTCCTCCAGAGCCACATGTTGCATGGGTAGAGGCTGGGAGACCTGAGAAGCTCTCAGTCCATGGGGTTGACAGTGGTCCATCGCAGTGGGGTAAGCATCCGAGTGTGACTGGTGCTGTGGGAGCCCAGAGGTAGGGCCAAGCAAAGTCTTCACAGAAGAGTAATGTTTCCGGATGAGAGGGGCTGGCAAAGGCCTGGAGGTGGAAACTCACTTGATGTGTGGCCAAAAGAGCAAAAATTTCTGAGCTTGGGGCTCCCTGTGGCTGAGTGGCCTTTAATTTCATCATCTGTGTTTATTTAACACACATAGAGCACCCAGAGGCTGGGGCGCCCTTACACGTTTTTCAGTATTGCTGCCTCCAGACCTCAGGTGAAGCCTGCTGGGCAGGGGCTGAAGGGGCTGCCACCTGCTGATGCCCCTGAGGCGGGGAGGGTCAAGGTCACAGGGTAAGTGGGGAGTGGCCTCAAGAGGCCGGGGTACTGTGACCTGTCTGCATTTGGAAAACAGCCTCAGAGAGGGAGGGGCCTTGTTCAGAGCCAGGGGGTCAGGACTGAGTCCAGCAGTTCTCCTGCCTGGGGTGCAGCCCTGGGTCTGTATCTGGCCTGTCCCTGCTACTTACAGGATGGGATCTGGGTGAGCTCCTGCCTCTCTGGGCCCCTCTGCAAGGTAGGGAGTTGGCAAATTGGTTCTGAAGAGCAATTTTGTCTTCAAGGGCCTCGTTCTGCTCCTCTGGACCTCAGTAACCCCTAGGTGCTCCTAAGCTGTAAAGAAAAACAAAAAATGTTCCCTATATGTCCCAAAACAGTTTCTAGTCCCCTCCTCAAGAAGAAATAAACTATGTCTAACCCAAGCACCTCCCTGATCAGGGGCAAAGAAGCAAACTTTTCAAGAAAGAAAACACCCACACAAAAAAACCCCACCGATTTGCCAACCCCTCACTCCTGCCTGCACGTGCGCACACACACACACACAGACACACATATACATACATAAACACATATACAGACACACAGAGGTCCACATGCACATCCCCACACTCACCAAGTGCATGTTCTTTGTTAAAAGGAAGTAAGTTCTGGAGCCTATCATGGAATTAAAGGCAGGGCTTTGCAGCTTCCAAATTCTGTGACCTCAGTTGGGTCACTTGACAGCTCTGTGCCTCTGTTTCCCTATCTGATAGCAGGTGGAGTTTGAGTAAATCAGAAACTAGAGAATCTGGATCCAGCCTACAAATGTGTTTTATTTGGCTTACTCAGGCCTTTGAGACAGCTTGTTGTCATGTAAAGATAGGAAGATTCTATGTGAAAATCTAAGATGCAGCATGTCCTAAAGATATGGTGTCTGCCACAGCAAAATCAGCAGGCAATGAGAAGCAACCTTGACTCCATTAGAGCTGCGCTGTCCAGTTTGCCACAGGCCCCACCACTCCCTGTTGTCTTCCTGACAGTGAGATCAAGTATCAGTTGCCATTTACCATGGGGCTTGTGCTGTTGCTTTTCTTCTAGTTAACAGGAAAGTGGGAAATCTCTTACAACTCCCCCTTCATCTAAAGAGAAAGATAGGAATGCATGGTTTAAAAAAAATAGGAGGAACCCTATTTGTGAATGTATTTACCGGGCAGTAAGTGTGTCTGCGTCAGACTCAGTGAGGTGGCTTCCCTGTGGATGCTGGAAGGGGGCATACAAGTCAGCCTCGTCTCACCTGACACTGAAACCCCACCCAGCTTCCAAAGGCTGTTTCTCATCATTTGGGAAGTGCTGCCCCTCCTGTCACTTCATATGGAGCCCACAACTCTCAAGACAGGCGTGGAGAGGGTGTTAGTTGTGGACCGTGCACACAAGGAAATCTAGGCTTACCTGGACAGAGCACAGAAGGAGCCGGGAGGGACAGAATCAGGCCGTCTTCCTCTTGGAGAAGCACTTGTCAGATCTGATGATACTGGCCATGGCCCAGGGCTCAGGCCCAAGGGGCATCCACCTGGTCTGATCAGAGGCCAGTGGGGAGCTCAGGGCACAGCTTTACCTGCCAGCTGGTGACTGCCCCTGAACCAGGCTGGGAGGCCACAGAGGCAGCAGCCCCAAGGGGCCTTAGAGAGGGGACTTACACAGGTGGTGGACACATCTGAAGTCTTACAGAGAAGGGGTCTGGAGTTCCCAGGCAGGTGTTGCTGCTGTGGGCTCGGGGAGCTACCAGGGCCTTGGAGCACCTGGGCGTCCCAGGATCAGATCTGAGCCAGTCTCATGAGGCTGATCATCTGCTAGACTGAGCTCCTCGCCAGGCCCTTGTGTGTGTCTATGTGGATCCTGCAAGAGCATGGCCAGAGCCAGCCAGAGGGGCCTGGGAGGTGGAACGGGGGTTGTTCTGAGACGGTGGCAATGAGGAGGAGGATGTCTCTGTGAGAAGAAGGAGCAGTTAGGTGGTGCCTTGCCCAGGCTCAGTCCTGGCACAGTTACCCTGAGCAAGATCCTGTTGCTGGAGTTGTGCGTGCTGCCCTCCGAGCTCACATCCTAGCAAGTAAAGTTCTCCCTCACTGGGCACGGAGGGAGAGGCCTGTGTTTCCAGGCTCCTTAAAGGAGCTCCCATTAGGCTACACAAACATGAGGCTGCCTGCCTTTTCTCATCATATCTTTGGTGCGCACACGTGTGTGTGTGTGTGTGTGTGTGTGTGTGTGTGTGTGTGTATTAGGGTCTTGCTCTGCTGTTCAGACTGGAGTGCAAGCCTCAGCCTCCCAAGTGTGTGTGTGTGTGTGTGTGTGTGTATTAGGGTCTTGCTCTGCTGTTCAGACTGGAGTGCAAGCCTCAGCCTCCCAAGTAGTGGTACTACAGTTGCACACTCCATGCCTGGCTAATTTTTAAAATTATTTTGTAGAGACTGGGGGTTTGCTGTGTTGCCTTGGCTGAGCTACTGCACCTGGCCACACCTTTGGCCTCTTAAAGGTCAGCCCTTCACATCATGTCACCAGTGACCTGACAGGCGAGAAAGCTGCTTTTCTCCTCTCTTGCCCCTCCTCGACTCTTGCTGCTAGGAGAGAAGCAGACACCTGGCCTGGATGTGACTCCAGTGCCCCATCGGAAGTGAAACTTGCCCTCTCTTGCAGGTGTTTGAGAAGCTGCAGCTGCTCAACCCTGAAATAGAAGCAGAACAAATATTAATGTCGCCCAACTCGTATATAAAGCTGCAGACAAACAGGTACGTGACTCAGCTCTTGTTTCCAGCAAAGCTGTGTGGCTGTACTTGCATCCGACAGCTCATGTGTCAACCCTGTCAGGAGCCATGGGTGCTTTCAGGGAGGTTTTCTCCTGTTGTGCTTGGAATGGATGAGGCCTCTGCCTGCTCCTTCTCTTCTCTGTGGTGCTTCTCTGCTTCTTGAAATCACTTCTCACTGTGGGTCTCTTTTTCCTCCTTGTAGCCTAGAAACATTTTTATGCAAGCTACTAAAATTCAGTCTTTAAAAGGGGAAAAAAACACCAGCTTAGAAGTGTTGTGTTTCCATACTTGCCACTCAGAGTGTAGCTGATGAGCCAGAAGCATCAGCATCATCAGGAAGAGGAGATGCAGCTCTCAGGCTCCACCCAAGACCTGCCCAAGGAGAAGCTGCACTCTAGGGAGATCCCCAGGCGAGGGGGCCACACAGTAACGCTTGGCAAGAGCTGTTTAAAGCTCTTCTGCAAACATAATTCCTACCTTTGATTCCAAGAGGATGCCTTTCATAACAGTGGCTTGCATTTGAATGGCAGTTGCCAAGCGGGAGACTCCACAGGCCACAGGACACTTACTTGTTGCATGAAACACATACATGTTTTCATTCAGCCAAAAGTAACAAAGTGCCAGGCTCCATGCTGGGCTCCAGGAACGCGGATATGGGTGACATAGGGTGCCCTGGAGGAGGGTAGCAGGAGAAGGCTATTAGAAAGCAAGATGTAGTATTCAAGCCAGAGCCCAAAGAAGTGTGCTGTCCATGGGGATTTAGGGGAGGCATGTCCCAGGTGGAGATGCTCGGGCTGGAGTTCTTGAAGGATGAGTAAGAGTTCCCCAGGTTAAGAGGAAGGGGTTGGTGGAGAAATAATGTTTAGGCAGAAGCAATAACATTTGCTCCTAGTCATCTATAGGGCTGTGGAAGAGACAGAGATGATGGGAACTAGCCCTGGGAGCTGGAGGCCTTTCCTTCCTGGGTTTCTTTATTATATTAATAAATATGTAAAAGGGTAAAAAATATGGTGTAATTTGCTTCCTACCCAGTGCATAGTATCAGTAGTTTGCTAACAGTTTTCTTAGCAGGTAGCCTGTTTTTATCCTGTTGACAGTCCTTAGAAATAGGACAAGGCAAGATCATTGCACACCTTTTACCATGTAAGAAGTCAATGCCGAGAGAAGAGGGGACGTAATGTGCACACAGCTGGTGGCAGGACGTGTTGGGACCGGCTTTGGATTCTGTCAGACTCAAAGCCCCATCCTCCACTATGCCAGGCTGCCTTGCTTCAGTAAATTGAGAACAATTTGCTGCAGAAATGATATTTTACAGTAAATGTCCCATGGAGCTGATGAAAGAAACTGCCCTCACAGTCTCTCCCTGCCTGCTGGCCGACCCACGGCAGGCGCTGCTCTGGGAAGAGTGAGAAGCCTCACTTTGCTTGGAACCATTGGATTTCTGAATTAGTTTTCCGTGGGTGACTGATGAAGCCTCAGACAACTGACAGCACATGGTCCTGAGGCCCGTGGGGCCAAGATTGGGCCTTTTCCACCTCCAAGGAGCATGGGGAGCTGCAGACTCTTAGATGTCCTGGCATTGTATCCAGGCCCACTCCCACTGCTGCCGTCTACAAAAACAGCTCTATTTTGTTTTCCAAAGGGATGGTGCAGCCTCTCTGAGCTACCGCGTCCTAGATGGACCTGAAAAGGTTCCAGTCGTGCATGTTGATGAGAAAGGCTTTCTAGCATCAGGGTCTATGATCGGGACATCCACCATCGAAGTGATTGCACAAGAGCCCTTTGGGGCCAACCAAACCATCATTGTTGCCGTAAAGGTAGGGTTGCATCCTCCTCCTTTTTGGAGTAATGAAAGCAATAGCACTGAGGTAATATGCCTCTCAGGAGTAAAAGTGAATATATTCACCTTCCAGCTGGGAAACTGTAGATAGGAATTTAAGAGTAACTCAGGGTAGATAAAAAGCTACAGCATCTTCTGGTCGTCAGAGCCGAAGATCCTTGGGAGATCATTGATTCCAAGTACTTCATTTCATAGATGAGGCCCAGTGAGATCCATGATTGGCGTAAGGTTACAGAAATGGGACTGGCACTACAGCTTCCTGACTGGAGTGCCGGTGCTCCACCCACCGTGCTTGGCCACTGATGTTATCACCACCCATGGTGGAGCTCCTGCTCTGGGCCAGCCCAGTGCCTGGAACATGATCTGTTCTTAAGAGCATTGGATGATATGCCCGGTATCTGCCATAAAAGTCATGACATCCAGTACATGACATCCGCTGTGGTTTTGAGAATGAGGTGGCCCATTTTCCAGACAAGGAGACTGAGGCTCAGAGTGGGAGTGACTTGCTCAAGGTTGCATGGGAATTGAGAGATGGGGTCTGTCTGCTTTGGGTGGTGTCCTTCTACCATGTCATGGCACTGCCCTCTGCCATTCTGTGTTCCTTAGGGATGGGACCTTCTCCATCAGCATCCCTGGGTCAGGTCCTGGGGTTTTGCTGAATGGAATTTTCTTTCCATGTCTCATCACCACTTGCTGAACCCTGGATGACAGAAGACACACACTCACTTAAATCTTTAGACTCTGCCTGGGTCACAGACCTTTTTCATTAATTCACATCTTCTGTTTCAAAGTGGGTGCCTGGCAGCAGATCCCCCGCTCTAGTTTTTGGTGAGTGAAAGTGACTGACTGCTCATGCTATTTCAACAAATATGTATTGAGCACTAGCTGTATACCAGACACTGCACCACTGAACTTTGTCAAAGAAGTTCAGACCTTTGGAGCACTAGTTTTTGAGCCAGGATAGATTTTCACCTGGACTCAGAGAAACAAGGGCTGCTGTTTATGGAGCTTGGGTTCTTGGGCTCCAGAAATCCCCATTTCCCTCCTTGCCCTGGTGGCCTGCAGGCACACTGTGACATGCTTAGAGCTTCCCCTGCGATCCAGAAGGACGTTGTTTCTTTAAATGCCCCGAGAGCCAGGTTCTCTGAAGAAACTGGATATTGCAGCCCAGGGGGCCCTCTCTCAATGTGAATAGCGATCTCATTTTTCCAAGTCATGGATTGGGACACTCCTGGGTGGGTTTTCTCATAGTGAGGCCAATCTGCTGTGTTGGGAGGTAAGAACTTTGTCACTAGTTTGGGACACTCTGGGGAGTGTGGCCTTTACTCCTCTCAGGACCCCTAAGTCCAGCCCCGCATTGTTCCTGAAGTGGATCCTCCTGGGGGCAGGCGTCCCCTCCTTGAGAGGTAGGTTTTGCTGGAGGCCAGTCCCTGGGACTGAATCCTCATCATACCTGTATGTTGTCCTTTAGGTATCCCCTGTTTCCTACCTGAGGGTTTCCATGAGCCCTGTCCTGCACACCCAGAACAAGGAGGCCCTGGTGGCTGTGCCTTTGGGAATGACCGTGACCTTCACTGTCCACTTCCACGACAACTCTGGAGATGTCTTCCATGCTCACAATTCGGTCCTCAACTTTGCCACTAACAGGTAGGATGTGGGCGAGGGTCATTTCTCCTGTGAAGTCCTGTCTGGTACCTGGTAGAGACAACTGGGGATAACACAGAAAGGCTGCTGCTATTGAAGGAAGATGTACGTTACTTCAGTTTCCAAGAGATGTGGGCATGCTGCACCGTGCAGGGCCACGAGGAAGCACCACTGCCCTCGGGGGATGCAGACCATCTCAGAGGAAGATAGACAGGCATCAGCCCCCAGAGGAGGAAGTAGGGTGTGGGGAAGCTCCAGGGAGCGCGCCCCGAGGCACAGGAGATTGGCCCTTCAGCCTTGGCTGCCCACAGGTCCTGCCACGGTTGTGTTTCCCTGTTGCTGAATGCATTCAAAGACAGGTGTCAAGGGTGTTGCCTTATGGAAAGAACTAGGGTTTAGAGTCAGGCCTGGTTCTAGCCACAGCTCTGCCCTTTGTGGGCCCTGTGAGCAGGTCACCATCCAAAAATCTGTTTCCACACCTATCATGTTGGGCAGTGTGGCCTAGGTTCGAGGGCTTTCCTTCAGCTGAGGGAGTGGGTCATGAGGACCTCTGGCAAACCATGGTGCTCTGTGTGTGTGCACAGAATTGCCATCTGTCAGTTTAGGGCATGTCCTGGAGGAAATGGAGCCCAGTTCTCCCAGCCCTTTGGCTGCACTGCAGGTCATTCTGGCCTTCTTGTGGCAGGAGCACCTGATAGAGACCCAGTCAGCACTCAGGATCAAAAGGTGTGGTGGAGGCAAGGATGCAGCCACGATCCCTAACCCAAACTGTCACCCCACACAGTCCACACTTCTGCACCAAAGCTGCCATTGGCAACATTGAGCACCTGCCCTGTGGCAGGTGCCTCCCCACTGCTGACCTCATGTAATACTCACGCCAGGCCTGTGTCGCGGGCACGTGATGATCCCCATTTTTCAGAGGCGGAAAGGGCAGAGGCTGCTTCTGCAGTCAGGTTGCATAGTAAGGGCAGCCTTCCCTTTCTGGCATGTCCAGTTCTCTGGTGGGAAGAGTGTAGGGAAGCACTCTGGATCTCTTTCCTCTCGAGGCCTCAGTTTCCTTTCTGGAATGCCGGAATGATGCTGCTGCCACTGCCTAGCTGCGGGCTGTGTGTGCTTTCTGGGGTGACAAGTGAGGAGGTAGAGCCTGTGCCATCTGCCTGCAGTGGTCCCTCGTCTGGGGCCGCTGTTTGGTAACCTCGAGTTGGGGCCACAACTGGGACCTCAGTCAGTCGAATGCTTTGCTCAGCAGAGGACCTGGACTACATTTCTCCATCTGGGAGTTGGAGGCTTCTTTACCAAGACTGAGAGTGAGCCCTCCTTTCTCTCCTGTGCCTAGAGACGACTTTGTGCAGATCGGGAAGGGCCCCACCAACAACACCTGCGTTGTCCGCACAGTCAGTGTGGGCCTGACACTGCTCCGTGTGTGGGACGCAGAGCACCCAGGCCTCTCGGACTTCGTGCCCCTGCCTGTCCTACAGGCCATCTCCCCAGAGCTGTCCGGGGCCATGGTGGTGGGGGACGTGCTCTGTCTGGCCACTGTTCTGACCAGCCTGGAAGGTAAGACAGATCCTGAGCCAGGGAACCTGTGGAGTCACGGACGCTTGCAAAGCTGAGTGGGGGCTACCTGGGTGGGGGCTACCCGAGCGGGGGCTCGGCGCCAGTTACGGGGGCCTGCAGGCAGACCTGCAGGATACTCAGGAGCAGTGCTCCAAAACTGCTGCCCAGAGACCAGATCCAGCCTGTGCCTGTTTTCTGCAAGGAAATTTTTGTTGACACTCAGCTGGACCATGCATTTGTGTATGGTCAGTGGCTGTTGTCACCCTACCACTGCCAGATTGTGTGGTCATAGCAGAGATCATATAGGCTGCATAACCCAAATGCTTATGTCCGACCTTCAGAGAAAGCATTTGCCGGCCCTTTTCTGGAACAGCTCCTCCCGGGGGGCGTCCCCTGCTCCTGTGGGGCATCCCCTGCTCCTGTGGGGCATCCTGCCTCTGCACAGTCTCACGCAGTTCCTCTAGCCAGGAGACACACGGATCGCTGCTGCTGCTGCTGAGGAACTGAATTGACCATTTTAGTGAATTCTGTGGGAGGTGGCCGCCATCGTGAACAGCACAGGCTAGGAGACTTAAGCAAAGAAGGACATTGGGCTAAATCAGTGACTTCCAAATTTCAGCCATGCCCAGGTGACCTGTAGTACATCTGTGGAAGACATGTACAATTATTTACTTAGTTTTTATTTTCAAATTGTCTCCACCTTTTTTTTTTACCTTACTAAATTCATTTTAAAAGGAGATGAAATACAACCTTTAAGGAAAAACAAATATAATTTGCCATAAATAGATTATAGTTGAGTCCTTTAATTGTATTTATTATATAATGTGATTGGCTTTTAACTCAGAAGTGTATGTGGTGAAAGCTCTGAGCCTCACACCTGCTGTTTGCTAAAATGGAATTGATAAGGCAACGAAGGAATGGGGAGGGGCTGTGCTTTGGGGAAGGAGCTACAGAGGGCAGGGCCTGGCAGCAGCACCAGACCATTCCTGGGCAGGGATCAGCTAAAGCTTCATGCCAGGATGGTCAGGAAATTCCAGGCAGGGAGCTGTGGGTCAGGGAGAGCAGGTGCTAGGGGCCACAGCCCTGTAGAGGGTGGGTGCAGCAGGGTAGGAGAGCTGATGGCTCCAGGTGGCTGGAGCCAGGAGCATGACCGGCACTGGGGCAGGCAGTGAGGCTGTCTCCTGAGGCTGCTGAGTGAGCCCCATTGGGGTAGTGGCAGCCAGTGAGGAGGCTGGCTTATCATCCAGGTGAGCTGGGCTTTGACTGGAGTGTCCAGCTATGGGAAGGGGGTGACATCCATGTTTCCTCTCCAGGCCTCTCGGGAACCTGGAGCTCCTCGGCCAACAGCATCCTCCACATAGACCCCAAGACGGGTGTGGCTGTGGCACGGGCTGTGGGATCTGTGACAGTTTACTACGAGGTCGCTGGGCACCTGAAGACCTACAAGGAGGTAGGCTCCAAGCAGCAGAGGCACAAGTGGCTCAGTGGCCTGTGAGGTGGGCCTGACCTGGGAGGATTATGAAGACTTTTCCTTTTAGAGAAAAACCGTCTGAGGGCTTGGGGTCTGGGAGTCATGAGTCTGGGACTGTGCTGACTCTGACGTGGAGACAAGCTCCCTTTTCTTTCTAGGCCTCAGTCTGCCCATGTTCAAGAGGGTGTGATGAGGACAGGCAGCCTTGTAGGGTGGACTCCAGCTCCCATGGGCTTGGTTCTGGCAACCCCGGAGTGGGCACTTCCTGGGAGCCGGTGCTTCCCTGTCACCTGCAAGGTTAAGACTACCTGTGCAAGTCAACTTTTGAGTCTGGAGGCAACAAAACCTGCTGTCTCTTCCATTCATCTCCAGTTGAGAATGAATCAGTGGGCCAAGTCTGACTGAGATCCAAATGCATCTCATTTTTAGAGGCAGCATGTGCTTTATGGAACCTAGCAGTTTAACCTAATAGTTTGCATATTTAGTGCTGCAGCTCTGCGGTTTGGGCAAGCCAGTTGCAGACAGAGGCATCCTCTGACAATACAGCTGTGCTCCCCTGGAAAGAGCCTCTGGTCAGGAGATGGGGTAGCATGGACAAAGGTGTGCAGGGTTCAAGGGCAGAGCATGGGGGGCTGGAACAGAGGGTATGGGAGAAGCATGGTCTGGCTTTGTGATCAGATCAGGAAATGCACTGGATTCCGGGCAGTTTGGTGCAGGTTGACAGTGGGGCATCTAGAGCCAGGCAGTCTAGGTCAAATCCCAGCTTGGCCACTACAAGGCTATGACTGAGCAATCACTGAGTCTCGCTATGCCCCGGTTTTCTTGTCTGTATAATGGGGATGATAGCGTTGTGAGGATTCAGTGAGTTAGCACGTGGGAAGCCCCTAGGGTGGTGCTCAGCTCCTAGCCAGTGCTCAGCAGAAATTAACTGCTGCTGCTCCTGTTCCAGGGTGAAGGGGTAGAAGCTTATGCCACACTCAGTGGAGTTTTTTAAACAGTGCTATAGACCAAGGCTGTGTTTGCTGAGGTTACCTGGCTCCTGGAGGAGCTCGAGAGAGCAGTGGCTGCAGGGTAACTGGCCAGAGACTGAGGCCAGGCCCTCAGCTGGGTTCATGGGGTGTGGCAGAATCTAAAGGCAGGTTTGGGAGAGATGGGAGGGAGGGAGGCACATCAGAGCTCCATGAGCATCCAGAAGTGGGGCTGGAGGGGAGGAAGGGCTTGGGGTGACCAGGCTGCTACTGGTCCTTTGTTAAGAGGGGCACACAGAGGTGGGTAGGCCTGCAGGGAGGTGAGGAGCCTGGGCCAGGGAGCTAGAGATGTCACAGCTCTCCCAGGTGAGGCAGGGAGCGCAGCTGGGCGGGTGCGGCAGAAGCACTGTGAAGAAGGCTGGACAGGGTGGGGGTCTCACTCCAGAGGTGGCTTCTGAAGCCCTGGGAGTGGGTGGGAGCACACGGGCACTCTGGGAGTGCAGGTAGGAGAGGGACCAGGAGGCCTTGGGCACTCTCTGAGGGTGGACAGGGAGGAAGGGGAGAGGAGAGCCAGGGTTGGGGGGTCCCAGGCTAGGGAGTGGGACACAGCCTCTGTCAGTCCCTGGAGGTGGATGGTGGTAAGCCGTGAGAGGAGGCCCCGTGAGTTTGACAGTGATGCAGGCCTGGTCACCTACAGCTCTGCATGGGGCATATCCCTGGGACCTGCAGGGGCTTCGATCCCATCCCTGCTCTGAAGTTCACCTACTGGTAGAAACCAGATCCCCCGAGGCAGGGACCGCTGGTGCCTGCTGAGAGAGGGAGGGGGGCCTTCAGCTGCAGGAAGTGGACTTGGGCCTGAAGGGTGGATGGGGCTGGGCTCTGCAGAGAAGGTGGGAGGGTGTCCTAGCCAAGGGACTGCAGGGAGGTCACCAGCCTGGGGCTGTTTGGATGTGGCCAGGTGCAGGATGGGCCCGGGGGAACAGCTGGGAAAATCTGGGCAGACTGGATTCTGGGTGGGGTGCGGTGCTGTACTACGGAGAAGTGATCCTGGCTGTCCCAAGAGCCAAAATCCTCAGGCTACCCAGATCGATTAATGAATTCAGGCCCGCTCCTCAGCGTCTAGTTGGCTGCTGGGAGAAGCAGCTTATTCAATGGGAGAACTGAGCTGTGAAGTCTGACTAGACTGGGCTCAAACCCCCTCTCTGCCACATTCTAGCAAGGCATTTAGGCTTTGAGCCTTAGCGTTGCCACCTGTGAAATGGGTGACACTGTGTCAGACTGCAGGGGGAGGTCGTGGAAACGCCCAGCATGCACGAGGACATAGGCGGCGTTCCATGAAGCTTCCTTGGCTCCCTCTCTAGGTCGTGGTCGGCGTCCCTCAGAGGATTATGGCCCGTCACCTCCACCCCATCCAGACCAGCTTCCAGGAGGCTACAGCCTCCAGAGTGATTGTTGCCGTGGGAGACAGAAGCTCTAACCTGAGAGGTACTTAATGAGGGGCTTGGGCGGTCTTCAGAGTACCTGGGAGCAGGGAGGTGGCTTCCTGTGTCCTCCAGATGGAGTTTGTCTGCTTTTCCTATTCACACTCACACCAACTCCAGAGAGGGCATTTAGCCCCCACTCGTCCACTCCTTCCAGCGTTTCTGAACTTGGAGTCCTCCAAAAGCTGAGCCAGTGAAAGGAATCTTCATAATGGAGCCCAGCTCCCGGAAGGTGCCTGTTCTGCACTAGAAATGTGACTTCAGCCCAAGGGCACCCTAGCAAAGAAAGCCACAATTTCCCACCATGAATCCCGGAAACTGATGAATTAGCAGGACTGGTTGCTGGTTTTAATTTTTGTAATGACCTCTCCCAGGTCATGCACAGAATGTTGAATCCCATCCCCTGCCCATGACAGCCCTGAACAGCGGCTGCCAGAAATAAGTAAGTCAGCCGGGCGCGGTGGCTCAAGCCTGTAATCCCAGCACTTTGGGAGGCCGAGACGGGTGGACCACGAGGTCAGGAGATTGAGACCATCCTGGCTAACACGGTGAAACCCCGTCTCTACTGAAAAATACAAAAAAAAACTAGCCGGGCAAGGTGGCAGGTGCCTATAGTCCCAGCTACTCCGGAGGCTGAGGCAGGAGAATGGCATGGACCCGGGAGGCGGAGCTTGCAGTGAACTGAGATCCGGCCACTGCACTCCAGCCTGGGCTACAGAGCGAGACTCCGTCTCAAAAAGAAAAAAAAAAGGAAATAAGTAAGTCAACAGGGCTGTTTTCTTACACCACTTCACTGGCAGAGTGAAGCACCGCCCTTCTCGTCCTAATTAATGAGGCAGCTCTGTTCCATCATGGCAGCCTCTGCTCCTTCCTCAGCACAAGTGGACAGCACTGTGCCGTTGCCAAAATGCTGCTCAGGTGTTAGTGGAGAACTAGTACCCTCCAAATGTGCAGAAGTAAATTGCCATTTCCCCTGCTGACAGGGACAGAAGTCAGGCATTAGTGGGCCCGGCCCATCTGCTGTGCCCCTGGATACAAGGTCTGGAACAGATGCTGAAATTCTGACTTGAAGCTCCCTGTGATGCCGAATGGCGCCCTCTTCCATATGATGTGTCCTTGGCTTTACCAATCCTGGCTCATCCCAAAACTTAGAGCAGCCCTGAGGCCCTGCTGGAAGACATGCAAGGGCAGGTGGCATTTGCAGCCCAGCCAGCCTGTGCAGGCCTGGTGGAATTCGGTGTGGTGGCCATCGGGCCTGGCCCACACCCTCTCATCTCCCCTCTCTAGGCGAGTGCACCCCCACCCAGAGGGAAGTCATCCAGGCCTTGCACCCAGAGGCCCTCATCAGCTGCCAGTCCCAGTTCAAGCCGGCCGTCTTTGATTTCCCATCTCAAGATGTGTTCACCGTAGAGCCACAGTTTGATGCTGCTCTGGGTAACTACGAGGATTTGAAAGTGAAAGGGACTTGGAGACAGTCTCTGTCTTCTGGGATCTTGGGGCTTCATGTGCCCAGCTCACCATGGCCGTCTGTCCGGAGGGCAGAGATTGCTAGGAGCCCAGCCTGGGGATTGACTCCAGGGGGACTTGGGAGGACTGCTGGTCACAGAGGGTATCCTAGCTTGGCCAAGGCCTTTACGGGGGATTCCCAGGAGGACTTCTGGAGGAGGTGACTTCTCACCTAGGCTCTGGAGGATGCATAAGAGTACCCTGGTTAGAGAAGCAGGGGGAAGAAATGACATCAGTGCACAGGCAGGAGAGGGGACAAGACAATACACTCTTGTCTCCGCAGGCCAGTACTTCTGCTCAATCACAATGCATAGGCTGACAGACAAGCAGCGGAAGCACCTGAGCATGAAGAAGACAGCTCTGGTGGTCACTGCCTCCCTCTCCAGCAGCCACTTCTCCACAGAGCAGGTGGGAGCCGAGGTGCCCTTCAGCCCAGGTCTCTTCGCCGACCAGGCTGAAATCCTTTTGAGCAACCACTACACCAGCTCCGAGGTCAGGGTCTTTGGTGCCCCGGAGGTTCTGGAGAACTTGGAGGTGAGTGGCATCTGCATGCCTCAGGCCAGGCCAGAGTCAAGGGTGTCAGGAAGGCCCTGGAGGAAGAGGGAATGTGGCGTGGATGTCCTGGGCCAGCTCTCTTTAAAATTTATTTTTACAATTATAATTTTTAAATTGAAGTACTCTTTCTGTAGCACTATTGCTGTCTCTCAGGCTGCGTGATTGTATTAATTGATCCGACCTCTGCTGTTCTTCCCCAGCTATAAGTTAAGCTTGTGGGGGCAGCACTGAGAACCCAGAGAAGGTGCCAGTGAGCGTGTGGTGCGTGGCATGGCCGAATTTAGTGCAGGAGCATCCGCCACAGAGCAGGGAGGAAAGCCCTAATCCCTGCTGGGACAAGTCCCCTCTCTCCAGGCCTCACTTCCCCCATGACTAAGTCGTGGGTTGGGGTTGGGGGGCGAATGATCCCTCAGGCCCGGAGCCTAGCAGGCTGGGAAGAGTTCTGGGGTGAGAGAACCAAGGAGTTCCTCGGCATTTCCACCTGCTCATCCTCCTGCCTTGCTGCAGCCAGCGTGACGGCATGTTCTCCCGCAGAGGCAGGGAATGCCCAGCATCGCCAATGAGAGAGGAGGGCCGGCCCGCTGGTGGCTGCTGGAGACCAGCCATGAGCAGAGCTCGGGCTGCTGCCTTGGAGAGCTGGTGCTTGGTGATATTTCGTGTTGGTTTAGCCTTTTTTTTTTTTTTTTTTTTTTTGAGGTGGAGTCTTGCTCTGTCGCCCAGGTTGGAGTGCAGTGGCACTATCTTGGCTCACTGCAATCTCCACCTCCCAGGTTCACGCCATTCTCCTGCCTCAGCCTCCCGAGTAGCTGAGACTACAGGCGCCCGCCACCACACCCGGCTATTTTTTTGTATTTTTAATAGAGACGGGGTTTCACCGTGTTAGCAAGGATGGTCTCAATCTCCTGACCTCGTGATCCGCCCGCCTCAGCCTCCCAAAGTGCTGAGATTACAGGCGTGAGCCACTGCGCCTGGCCTGGTTTAGCATTTTTGTAAGCAGCAGTTGATTAGAATTGAATAAACTTGAATTTGATTCTGACATTCATATTGATTTGTCCTTCCCTCAAAAAACACCCTGAGTACGTACAGGGCTTCCCGACTCTGCAGACTACATGCCGTCCATGAGCAGTGCCCAGGTGTCATTACCTGCCCATGAGGTGTGACCTGGGCAGGGGTCTCTACTCCATACCCTTGGGCCCCAGGAGGGAAGCCCAGCATGTCAGGCTGAAGCAGGGGTGCTTCCAGAGATGGGCCATGCAGAGCAGCCCTCCCGCCTTGGGGTCCTGAGGCCCCACTCAGTGGTCCCTCCACTGAGTCCCACCCCCAGCTCTGATGTCTCTTCCAGGTGAAATCCGGGTCCCCAGCCGTGCTGGCATTCGCAAAGGAGAAGTCTCTTGGGTGGCCCAGCTTCATCACATACACAGTTGGCATCTCGGACCCCGCGGCCGGCAGCCAGGGCCCTCTGTCCACTACCCTGACCTTCTCCAGCCCTGCGACCAACCAAGCCATTACCATCCCAGTGACAGTGGCTTTTGTGATGGATCGCCGTGGGCCCGGTCCTTGTGAGTTGCAGAATGATGTCATCTGGGACAGACCAGGGTGGGGAGGGACAGGCAGAAGTGGTCCTGGCTATCAGTAGAAACCTGGGGTGTAAGAAATGGAGTAGTCAGAAATGCAGAATGTCCCTCAAAGTGATCACTGCTCATTGGGGCCATGATGCAGACTTTAGTTCCCCAGCTTTCCCATCTGTTCTCAACGGGCCTCCAACCCCGTGGAGGCCCACAGGGACTGTGCCCCTCCTCTGCTCTGCAGCCTGCGCCAGGAGAGGAAGCGCCAGAGTATCAAGAGCAGCTGTGGGCCCGGACCTCCAGCAGGTGGCCTGGCCCTCATCCTTATGTCTAAGAGGGGCCTGTGGACTGCCCTGTAGACATACAGTAGTGCAGGAACATGATGGGACACCACAGTGGGCCTGGTGGTTTTGGTAACTCATCTTCCCATTGATGGCAGATGGAGCCAGCCTCTTTCAGCACTTCCTGGATTCTTACCAGGTCATGTTCTTCACGCTCTTTGCCCTGTTGGCTGGGACGGCGGTCATGATCATAGGTGAGGAGGCTGCGTGTATCTCTGGGTCTGTTCCCCTGCCCCCGCCTGCTCTAACCAACCATGTGCTCTTGCAGCCTACCACACTGTCTGCACGCCCCGGGATCTTGCCGTGCCTACAGCCCTCACGCCTCGAGCCAGCCCTGGGCACAGCCCCCACTGTGAGTAACCCCCCTGCAGGCAGAACCAGGCAGAGCTGCTGAGAAAGAAAAGAGCCCTGAGGGAGGGGTCGAGGCTCCTGAACCCTAAGTCTCAACAGGTCCTTGCCTGGGCCAAAGGAGCCTGAGGCCCAGAGGACAGATGTGGGAGCCAGCAGGGTCAGGGCAGAGGGGCTGCCAGTCCTGGTTCAGCAAGAGCTTTCCCCAGGCAGAGCCATGCTGGGTGGAGGTGTGGGCAGCAAGGAGCTCTGTCTAGGCAGGGGTGCATGCTAGGACCAGATTCTCACCGGCTGGGGCTGCCTCAGAAGGCTCTAAGCTGGGGTTGGACGAGCTGACTCACAGATGGGGATTCTGGGTAGTTCTGACGAGAAATTTCCCAGAAGAAGGGGCAAATTCATTTCTTTCAGTGGTCCAGCTGTTTCTGGTGACCCTGCACAGCTCCAGGGAGCACCTCACTGTGTGAATGCAATTTCTCTCTCAAACAATGCAGTGCCCAGCCTGTAGTGCTGTACGCGAAGGCCCTTTAATGTCTTTTGATTCCCATTTGAGGGTTCTCTCGCCTACACAGAGAGTCCTTGAGCTCGTGTCTGCTGACCTGGGGGCCCATGGACCAGCTTCAGGGGGGTCCCTGAATTTGTTTGAAAGAAGACCCAGTTGTGTGGGTAGAAGCACTTTCCTGAGTAAGGAGAGCCCACACGCCCTGGCCTTCTGCCTGACGGCTTCTCCACCTGCGAAGCAGTGCCCAGGGGAGGTCATGGGTGCTCAGCCTTCTCACAGCTCTGCTGCTTTCTGCAGCTGCTCTGGCAGCAGGCACCTGCCCTTTCTAGTTGCCTCTCTCAGCGTGCTCCTCCCTGGGTTTTGGGAGCCACGCCTGGGTCTCTGCAAGGACTCCGGAGCACTGCAGAATCACTGCTCCCCTTGAGGTCTTTGTTCCTGTGGTACTCTTGCCCAAGGCTGTGTTGCTTTCAGATGCACAGGCCCTCCCTGCCACATGCTCCCTGGACAGATGCTGCTGCGGTCCTGAAACTTGAGACTTGTTCTCCCCGGACAGGCTCTGCACTCCTGGATGTTAGGTTGGCATCCCAGGCCTCTCTGTGTGGATGAGGCCAGCTCAGCAGGTGCCGGTGGACTTCCCTCTGCTGGCCAGGGAGGCCTCGGGGCATCACTATGAGAGTGTCCTGGGTGAGGCAGGCGCCTGCTGAATGCTGGCTGTAACTGAGGAGCGCACCGCTCTCCCTGGCTCTGCTGCTCACATCGTCTCTCTTCCCATCCTAGATTTCGCTGCCTCATCACCCACGTCTCCCAATGCACTGCCTCCTGCTCGCAAAGCCAGCCCTCCCTCAGGGCTGTGGAGCCCAGCCTATGCCTCCCACTAGGCCGTGTGAAGGTTCCCAGAGGATGGATCTCAGCCGAGCCTCGTGCGCCCCCAAGATGGGAGATCCCTACTGCATTCACACTGGAACAAGCCCCTCCAGACGAGTGCCCCGGCCAGCTTCACTGCCGTCTCTGTTCACACAGAGTTGTAGTTTCGGCTCTGCCCATTAGCTCATTCTTTTATATAGGAGTTTTAAATGTGTGTTTTTTTCCTTTCAGGTCTTACAAAGCTAAGACTTTTTGGCTCATTCCTTTTTGCATGGTTGTCTAGGGTTTCTGGACAATGTGCTGTTTCATTTTTATTTTCCTAGCCTTGCTGAAATCTCTCCCTTCTCAAGACTTTGAGCAGTTAAAAGTACTCTTTAGAAGTTGTCTGTAGGTGATGTTACTGTAGTGGTCTCAGGGAAAGGATTGTCCAATTACTTTAGGGATTTTTTTGGTGGGGCTTTTCCCCCTGTGAAAACTTACTTTTCCACTAGTCTGGTTGCTGCTAGGAATGTTGGGAAGCAGTGGGACATGAGTGTCCCTGTGTCTGCCCCACTGCCGCAACGGAAGCCTCAGGAACCAGCACCTGGAGGCCGGGATAGCCAACCCCTGGGTGAGCGAGAGGCTGGAGAACACGGGAGCTCACCCAGGGCTGCTGCCCGACCACGGGCCACTGTGAACAGACTTCAGTCCTCTGTTTTTGTTTCATAAGCTGTTGAGACATCTGGTGGACTTGGCTTAGGCCCTGCTGGGACATCCCAAGTGTGATCCCTCTCACTCCATCAGGACACCAGGACTGTCCTTAGGAAAATTCCTTGAGATGGCAGCAGGAGTCGTATTTTCTGTGTGTGTGTTTCGGAAAGCTGCTGTGTCCTGCCTCAGCACAAAGACCCAGTGTCATTTGCTCCTCCTGTTCCTGTGCCACTCCAGAACCTCAGCAGATCTGAGCCACCGCCTGCCAGTGTGAGAGGCGGCCACTTTTATGGCAGCTCGTCAGGCGCAGGGCCCCAGGCAGCTTCCCAGCAGGCCCTAGAGCCTGGCCCCGGCCGGTGATGGAGGGCAGCCACCAGCCCAGGGCCTGCCCATCCAGAAGGGACTCCCCAGGGGCTGGGGGAGGAGACCCTTGGAAAAGTCCTCTCTTCCCAGCTCCTGGTTCTGGATCTGAGATTCTCAGATCACAGGCGCCTGTGCTCCAGGCTGAGGCTAGGCTACCCTCAGGGAGATCCAGAGACTCATGCCCATGGCCATCCATGCATGGACGCTGTGTGGAGAGTCCAGGATGACTGGGGATCCCGCACAAGCCCCCTTCAGTCCTTCAGCGCTGGGCCATGTGGTTGATTTTTCTAAAGCTGGAGAAAGGAAGAATTGTGCCTTGCATATTACTTGAGCTCAAACTGACAACCTGGATGTAAACAGGAGCCTTTCTACTTGGTTTATTTAATAAAGCTCTATGTGATTTTTCAAGAGGGTGCGATCATTGATGAGACTTCTCTCTGATGGTGATGGTTTCTTCCCTTTACCCATCTATGATACTCTAGGGCCTGGCAGAGCTGGAGGTCTGAGCTTTATTCTCCCCAAGGGGTGAGCATCATTTTCAAGCACGCTCAGGTTGGCAAATCCAAGTGCATCTGGACATAGCCAGATCTTGCCAGCAAGTGAGTGTGCCCAAGAAGGCATGTTGACAAAACCATGTGATGCCACACAGTTCAGCTTTCTGCTCCCAAGCGAACCAAGCGACTCTTTATCTCTAATGGTTGCCAGGAAAGGCTTTTAGCACCATTTAGCACTAAAAATATAGTATATAATATAGTTTTTTCTCTAGAATTCTTAAGTCTGGCCAGAAGTGAACTCTTGTTCTCTGTTTTTCTGTATGTCTTTGTGCATGCTCACACGTGCATCCATGCATCCTGGAAATATTTTGTTGTTGTTGTTGTTGTTTTGAGACGGAGTCTCCTCTGTCGCCCGGGCTGGAGTGCAGTGGTGCAATCTCAGCTCACTGCAAGCTCCGCCTCCTGGGTTCACGCCATTCTCCTGCCTCAGCCTCCCGAGTAGTTGGGACTACAGGTGCCCACCACCATGCCTGGCTAATTTTTTGTGTTTTTAGTAGAGACGGGGTTTCACCATGTTAGCCAGGATGGTCTCGATATCCTGACCTCATGATCCACCCGCCTCGGCCTCCCAAAGTGTTGGGATTACAGGCGTGAGCCACCGCGCCCGGCTGCATCCTGGGAATATTACATCACAAGGTCTGCAGACACTCGCTAGCAGGGAGCACTGAACCTGGGGCATCCAGGGTGGGTGGCAGAGGTCTAGGCTGGTGAGAGCTTAGCAATCAGGTAACCAGGAGTCTAGGCCCACCTTGCTCTGGGGCTGGAGAGAAATTGTTTATCTCTCTGGGCCACAGTAGTTTCCTCACCTGCAAAGGGGCGCTCTTGGACATGTGTCCTAGTCACCATCCACCCAGAGTGGCTCCCAGCAGGAAGCAGGTGCTAGATGGCGTCACTGTCCCCAGATACTCAGCCTCCCTCTGTGCACGCCCTCTCCCACATGCCTTTGCAGTTCCTTCTGCCCACTGAGGCTAGGTGTGGTCATGTGACTTGCTTTGGTTGGCATGGGTGAGAGGGACGATGGGTCAGTGCTGGGCATCCCTTACCCTTCTTGTGCCCCTGCCATTGATGTAGTAAGCAGGAAACCCAGGTAGCTGCAGGTCCAAGCAGGAGGAAGGACACCTGCAAGGGACCTGCCCATCCCGGATCACCTGGCCTGCAGCCCATGGCTATGAAAAGAGTGATGGTTCTTGGGGGCAGCGTGGTAGGCAGCAACGTTCCAGCAACCCGTGACAGATAAGAAACATGCTGTGGTTCCCTTCTGGCTGAACGCAGTGAAGGCAGATGTTTTCTGTCTCACGTTCCCTCCCTTTGCGGATTCCCTCTGGGCTGTCTGGTGGGCCCTCTCAGCCCATCGTGCTGGGACAGGGTTTCCTGGGCGTCCCTGGCCGCAGGCCTAGCCAGGCACCCAGTCAGGAACCTCTGAGGACGGGGCACAGCAAGGTTGTGCAATGCTGGACCTGCCCCTCCTGTGCTCCCATCTCCTCTGGGCAAGGGTGTGGTCAGCCACACACTAGAGGCTGCTATGGGGGTGGATGGGAATGTGGCTCCACAGGACACATCGCTCCATCATTGTGGGTCCTGTGCCCACATGAAACCATCCTGCTCAGCCTTACTCTCCATTGCAGCCCTTGTGGCGGGGCCACAGTGGGAGGGATGTTCTCAGGATGGTTTTTGGAATGAATGCATGAGTGAATCCCCACGAAGGAATGTGATTTTGGGTTTCCCCAACTCTGGGTTCTAGTTTCTGGAACATCCTGAACCTCAGGTCAGTGTGGGGAGGAGCAGGGGCCAGGGGACAGGTGGAAGCTGAAACTCACAACAGGCTGAGAGTGCCCACCAGGCACAGCCCAGGGAGAATCGGCTGAAGGGAGGTACCGCAGGACAGAAAACAAGAGAGGGCTGACTCAGTCTCTTCCAAACCACTCCTCTCAGCCACCTCCAAGCCACCTGGGCTAGAGCCAAACAAAGCCAACTTGACAGAACCACCTCTGGCCACCAGCATGGCTCCCAGCAGCCTGTGTAGATCTGCCTAGATGGTTGGAAGAAGCCAAGAGGCAGGGCGAATGCTCAGAGCCGCCGCTGTTTCCTGCACGCCACCCGCTAGCACATGCTGAGCATTTCCAGTCACCAGCTCACTTCATCCCTGCCACAGCCCTAGGAGGCAGGCCCAGCCACCTACAGATGGGGAAACTGAGGCCCACAAGGTGAAGCCACTCACCTGGTCACATGCTGGCAAATGGCAGAACCAGGATTCAAATCCTGGTTGACTGGCACCAGAGTTTGCTCCCCCAATGTGTACCTTCTTCTACCCTCCTGGGTAGGGGCATCCACTGTGGGAGCCTTTCACCCACTTCCCTCAGACCAGCTAAGCTGTGGACTGTCTCATGAATTATTTTATAATCATAAGGAAGACATTTTGCTGGGCATGGTGGCTCACGCCTATAATCCCAGCACTTTAAGAGGATGAGGCAGGCAGATCACTTGAGGTCAGGAGTTCGAGACTAGCCTGGCCAACATGGTGAAACCCGGTCTCTACTAAAAATAAAAAAATCAGTCAGGCATGGTGGCACGTGCCTGTAATCCCAGCTACTCAGGAGGCTGAGGCAGGAGAATCACTTGAACCTGGGAGGTGGAGGTTGCAGTGAGCAGAGATTACACCACAGCAAGACTCCATCTCAAAAAAAAAAAAAAAAATTATTTAACATAAAAAATTTAACATAGAAAAATATTTTTTACAAGGAAAAATGTTTTTCATAAAAAATTAAAAGGCCGGGCACGGTGGCTCACATCTGTAATCCCAGCACTTTGGGAGGTTGAGGCAGTGGATCACGAGGTCAGGAGCTCAAGACCATCCTGGCTAACATGGTGAAACCCCGTCTCTACTAAAAGTACAAAAACTTAGCCAGGCATGGTGGCGGGCACCTGTAATCCCAGTTACTTGGGAGGCTGAGGCAGGAGAATGGTGTAAACCTGGGAGACGGAGCTTGCAGTAAGCCGAGATTGCGTCACTGCACTCCAGCCTGGGCGACAGAGCGAGACTGCATCTCAAAAAAAAGAAAAAAGTTTTGGCCGGGCACAGTGGCTCATTCCTGTAATCCCAACACTTTGGGAGGCTGAGGTGGGCAGGTCATTTGAGGTCAGGAGTTTGAGACCAGCTTGGTCAACATGGTGAGACCCTGTCTCTACTAAACACAAAAATTAGCTGGGCATGCTGGCATGCGCCTGTAATCCCAGCTACTTGGGAGGCTGAGACAGGAGAATCGCTTGAACCCGGGAGGTGGAGGTTGCAGTGAGTCCAGTGAGACTCCATCTAAAAAAGAGAAAAAAAGAAAAAAACTTTTAACAGAAAAGTACAACAAATAATGTAACAAACCCCCATGCCTACTACTCAATGTAGGCTTTTGTTAGCATGATCTTATAGGCTTCCACGGTGTGTTTTGTTTTGTTTTTCAAAAAATAGACCAAAAAAAACACCAAAACAAAAAACAAAAAACCCTACTATTGTAACTTCTCTCATGTAACCTCTACCTTCTAGCCCTTCATCTTTTTTTTCCCTTGAGATGGAGTTTTGCTCTTGTTGCCCAGACTGGAGTGCAATGGCGCGATCTCAGCTCACTGCAACGTCCGCATCCCGGGTTCAAGCACTTCTCCTGCCTCCGCCTCCCAAGTAACTGGGATTACAGGTGCCCATCACCACGCCCGGCTAATTTTGTACTTTTTTTAGTAGAGACAGGGTTTCTCCATGTTGGTCAGGCTGGTCTTGAACTCCCAACCTCAAGTGATCCACCTGCCTCGGAATCCCAAAGTGCAGGGATTACAGGCGTGAGCCACTGTGCCCAGCTCTCGTTTTTCTCTTCATAGGCTACTACTTTTGTAAGTTTGGAGCCAATCTTTCCAAAGCAACTCTTATTATTAAAAAGCATCAGTAAGGTCGGGTGCAGTGGCTTACATGTGTAATCCCAGCACTTTGGGAGGCCAAGGCAGGTGGATCACCTGAGGTCAGGAGTTCAAGACCAGCCTGGCCAACATGGCAAAACCCGGTCTCTACTAAAAATACAAAAATTAGCCGGGCGTGGTGGCACACACCTGTAGTCCCAGCTACTGGGGAGGCTGAGGCAGGAGAATCACTTGAACCCAGGAGGTGGAGGTTGCAGTGAGCCGAGGTTTTGCCATTGCACTCCAGCCTGGGTGACAGAGCAAGACTCCCTCTCAAAATAAATAAATAAATAAATAAATAAATAAATAAATAAATAAATAATGATTTTTTTAAAGCATCAATAAATAAAATATTGTTTTGTGTGTCCTTTTTAAATGTTCATGTAACTGTTCTCTTACTTTGTAACATTCAGTGGAATGCTTTTTTCTCTTCAGTGTTGTCTACTTTCCCATCATAAAGCTGCACCTCAGTTTAATTCCTCTTTTCCCCATTGTTGGACAGAAAGGTTGTTTCAGGTTTTCACTATGATCAACAGTGCTGCAGTGAACATGCCTGTCCAAGACTCCATGAGTACAGGGGCCAGAGTCTCTCTAGGGTGGATAGGAGGGAGTGGAATTACTGGGTGAAACAGGGTGCCCATTATCCATTTTGCTTGATGCTGCCAAATTAATTTCCAAAGCATTGTACCAATTTGCACACCCACCAGCTAGATATCAATTTCTGTTTCCCCTTACTTCCCAACACGTAATACTGCCATATGTGTATGCTTACTTTTGCTGATTTGGTAGGTTAAAATGGCATTTTATGAGTTTAATTCAAATTCCTTGATTACTAGTGAGGCCAAGCTTTTTTGTTTGTTTATTGGCCTCTATGAATTGTCTGTTCTCCACTCAACTTACTTTTTTTAGTTATTT